TGTAGGATGCAAAGTTTGTTAGGTCAATTGTTTGTTGATATTCATTTTGTAAATCCAAAATCAAAATCAGACCACGGCCAATATTAATTTTTTGGATATTTTTGGGACATCTTATAATTCTTGGGTAGAAAGAAAACTCTATATTTTTGCTCATGAAATTCACGAGATTGTAAAATCAATCAACATTAGAAGGACAACCGTCACTAACTAAAGTCGGTCTATGCCATTCGAGACCTTTTAGATAAGGACTGGGTTGTTATTCTAGTGTATGTTTATAAGGAGATTAACTTTGTAGCCGATTACATGGCTTTACTAGCGGCGGTAAATCCGAGAGAATTACACAGATTGGATTTGTTCCCAATAGCGATTTTACCTTTTTTTGACAATGATGTAATAGAGGCCCTCAAAATGCTGTATTCTGATGATGATTATGCAATGCAATCCTTCTGCTAATGGAAAAAGAAAAAGTCGGTCTATGCGAATATATCACGTCGATCTCCAAGTTGTTGCGCAATATTGCAGGTCGAATAGTTCAAGTTTAATGACCTCTTAATATCTTGATCTTTGAATTCAAAGTTATGTGTTATGGAGCAATATATTGTGAATCAGTTAGTACTACGCATGATGGATACATACACAGAAGCTAACCAACCATAGGGTGTAATTTAAAATTTGGTGGTGGAGTTTTAATCAAATACGTACTAATATTCATATTGGTTCATTGGTTGATGATTACTTGGAATCATTTTCGCTCTCGACATTTGATTAGTAGGTCCAATTTTGATATTTCCATACATCAAATTGATTTGATAACTAAAATGAATGAATAAACTAAATCAATTGCAAATCAGGTGGCCTCTTGTATATTTATTTCCGTACGGAGTCCTTGATTTTGGGGGAGGTGGCTCTCTATCAAAGACCGAAAGTTCTACTCCCTTCATTTCAAAATGTAGGTTGCTTTAGGTTTGGAGAGATTTTTCAAAATGTAGGTCGTTTTACAAATTTTAGGCAAATTAATGACGATTTTTCTAACTTTACCCTCAATAAATGATGCTAATTTATTTTTATTTAATCTTGTTTATATTTCCAACGTAATTAATGAGGAGTAAAAAAGATATTTAACACATAAATTAATTGTTGGATGATTGTCTTCTTAGTTTACGTGTAAGTCTAAAAATACTTACATTTTGAAACGGAGCGAGTAATAAATTAGTCAAAACTCGTGAGCATTTAAGCGTAGTTAATTAGTTACAGTGTATAATTTCATTTAATTAATTTAATTTAATTTGATTGGATGCCGTGACTCGTGATTCATTAGTCATTCAAGCATATCTAGTTTTAGTTACAATGTCGTATAACTCATTTAATAAAATTTAATTTAATGTCATAATAAGTCATTTAAATATTATTAATTTTTCCATGCCTAACTAAATTAATTATACATTCATGCATGTTACGTATTTCACTTAAACTCATTTACAAATATAGTGCAAATCAGATTTTTTTTTTTTCAATGTATGTCCTGAATATTTATATGTATATATTGCTTTTCTTCCCGCCTAAAATGATTATAAATTATTTGTATGGGGGACGAAGAGGGAATTTCCTTTTAACCAATACGGTATTCGTGGGTCGTGGAGCTCAATATCACCAACCAAACAAAAAAAAAAGAAAAAAATAAAACACAAATAAATCACGAATTGCATTTGATGCACTCGGGGGAGGTCAAGAGACTTGAAGGAGGTGGAGGAAATGAAGTGGGGCCCCGGAACACAGACCCGACCTGAATAACAACGACCAAATAAGACTTGAAGAAAGGAACTTGTGAAATTGGGTAGATACACATGGAACCTCGTTCCTGGTTGTGCAGTACAATGAATGAGTTTGGATTTCGGAACCACACCTTCAGATAAATGCAATTCGATAAAACTGAATTTATGCTGTGGATGATATGCGGTTAGGTGCTCATATTTACTGTGAAATTTATCTTAAGTAATCACTTCCCCTTATTATGTGCTTATTACTAGTGGTTACACTTCAATCTTAGTTGGGTATGATTCTAAATTAGGATACACCGAAAATATTATTTTCATTAGACAAAATATATAATATTTTTCAAATAAATGTATTCCCCTCTACTTTTTCCATATGATTATTATAAGTATTCTATACAATTTATTAGACGTTTACTATGAACGTATATAATACACTGATAATCTGTGACAATCGTGTTGTATTTATATTATGTCGATTCATCGTCGTAGATCCTGATATCGTCCCAAAAATTAACATGTCGTCAACCTCCTATAGCACATATTGTAATGTTGTGTGGCCGTCCGTGCATGCCGTACGAAAGATGAAACATGGGAATAACTATAATGCACATATTGACTCGGTATATGAATATAATTATACTTTGATTGTAGTATATGCTAGTTAAGTAAACCTACGTATAATAGTTAGTAACTTGGTCTTGGGTTATATTGAGCAGGTAAGATTAAGCTCGTAATGATGAATATAATAATAGTTAGAGTGGACTGCTAGTATTGCAAGTTGAAGATTAAAATTAAGGTGAGTTTGGCAAGACATTATATTTCTGGAAACTCACTCTTAATTGCTAGCTGGACATGTACTTCTGTTTCTAGAATCATTGGAACCATTTTTATTTTTTCTGTTGATGACCTTTTCAACTGTAAAGTGTGTTTTAGTGTCTCATTAGATTTTGAAATTTGCGTTAAAGAGTAGTAACAATCTAGATGGAGTGTTTTTCATGTATGGTACTACTAACCAAAGAAATGGGTTATCACACTATTAGTCCTTTAGCTTTTGAGTCATGGCGTATTTAGTATCCATCGACTCCCAAAAGATTACCTATATAGTGCAATTTTAATGATTCAATAGGACCCGAAGTCGGAACCGATTACATTTCCATGGTTCTTTAGAATGACAGAAAAAAAGTTATCACAATTTTTATCCGAGTGGCTTGGATCAGATTCGACCAATGAATTTTCATAATTTTGTATGAAGTAGACCTATAACTTGGAAGTTGAGGGATGAATCACTATATTTGCCCAAAAGTTAAAAAAAGAATAATAAGAACCTGAACTACACACGTACGTGGTATGCAATATTCACGAGCTTCAACAACAAAAGTCGTAAGGTTATTAGAAACGGAGATTGCGTTCACAATCAAAATGACATTATCAAATGGACAAACGAAATCCAAGCTCAAAAGAAAGCTTGTTCCATCATCCATATGTTCATCAAACCTAAAACATCAACTAATAATTTAATTAAAGATCAGAATTCGATCGGCAATCGTAAGAAAGCCTCAGTTTAATCAAACAACTAGACGTCAAGCCTACACATTGGTAAATGCGTTCCGTATTTCTTGCCAAGAAAGCATGCTGCTAATATGCAATCCATTGTATTTCATCTTTATCTCTCCATATATATTTCTTGTCACAAGATTGATGTTTTGGTGATGCAAATTCTGGGTTATTTAGAGTCCGCTAGAGCCTTCTAATTATCAAGCTAATTAATTAATTAGTAGTAGTATTTAACGAATTATTATACTAATAGTAACTAGTAATTTATGTGATGAATAAATTTGTTAACTTCCGCAACATTATGGAATTAATTAATGGCACAACTTTAAAGTAACCCAAAGGTTTTAGGAGATGCTTCGCCTTTTTCTTTTTTTTGTTTTTTGCCCCCCATTTTACTTCTCCTTGATTAATTAATCATTGATCCTAATTGTTATTGATTCTGTTAATTTTAACTTTTTGTCAAGTTGGGAATCGGATTTTAAACCTTTCAATTCTTATCCCTTCGATCCAGTTCGTCTAGGAACGATTTACTATGAATTTTTACGTATAAGGTGGTGGGAGTCTTGCGGCTGAGATAATAAATTCTTTACAGTCAAAGCTTAAACTAACTCAAGCGGTGAGGTGAGGTAAGAGAAGTGATCATGAAGTGAATTGATACATATAGTTGTACAAAATACAGTAATGTACTTAATTAATGTAGATATCACAAAATTAAAAAAAAAAAAAAAAGAGAGAGAGAGAGAATAAAAGAAAGTGAAGTTGCAAGTTATAACTTGGGTGAGCATGATCGATGATCATAAGACACATTGGTGAATCTGAGACAATACATACACGATGGAGTCGTGATACACATCTGACCAATACATATATGATGTCTACAGAAAAAGATTTTCAGAATTTGTTTGAGAATTTAATTATGTATAAAATGAACATTTTATACATCTTGATAGTATATCTAATTTTTTCAGAGAGAAAAAAAGAAGAAGAGAAATCGTAGCAAGATGTCTACTTATCAAGAGTCAATTATGACACAAGAAGTTAGAGTTTAGTTGATTCTCCAGACTCCAATCTCCCCTACTTTTACTATGGCTTTTTTTTTTATTTTTTATAATCAAGAAGGGAGTAAATTACTTGGTCATACTTTTAACATGCATTTACTAAGTCCCTCTGTCTAAAATATAACATAGTAATACTTGTTTTTGCGTAAATTGTTAAAGTTACCCTTGTAATTATTGAGATAGAATAATTGAAGAATTAGAAATCGATGGATGGGTGGATGGACGAATGGATTGATAAAGAAATCAAAATTATTTTTTAAGATATATATATATATATATATATTTAATTTTATTGTGTGGAGCGAGATGGCTGGTTTTTATGAGCAAAGAAATGAGGAAAGAAGTTCACAACTTCACCGAGAGAGGTTCAACCACCAACAACCTTTTTTTTGATCCCATTGACCCATCAAACTGATTTTAATGTTACAATGAATTCATGTAACTGTTACCTGTAGTATTACTCCCTCCCCCTTTTGTAGTATTCATCAATTTGCAATATTATTATTACTATTACTATATATATATATACACGGAGTACCTCCTCAAGTAAATAAATAAATAAAATAATAATAATAAAAAAAACTAGATACCTCCAAAAACACCCCCTTCTTCTTTCTTCTTCTTTACTTATTTGGCATTCCCTCCCTACAAAATCCCTCCAACCATAGACCCAAATTCAGAAACTTTCTCCAAATATATCACCCCAAAAAAATCAATCCCCCTTCTCTTCTTCTTCCTCCTCCTATTAATTTCTTCTACCAAATCAAAAATGCAACCTCTGCTTTGAAAGAGGAGGAGAAGAAGAAAAAAACAGAGTAACTGTAATCAAATTGAATTGCATTGATATTAATTTGATCACAAGTTCATAACCATTTCTAGTAATGGTTTCACTACACACTTTCTGCGTGACTTAAAACAACATTATTCCACCACCACCTTGGTTGAGCTCGGCGGTGGTCTCTGCATCACCCACCAACTTGTTATAGTTATTAGAGAAATAAAAAAAAAAAAGAAGATGACGGCAACAAAGGCGGAAGCAGCGTCGGCGGCGGCGAAAATGGCGGTGATAAAGACGGGAACTTTTTTGAACGATGTCGTCAGCCTGATCGTATTCTCGGTGCTGGACGTTTTGGATTTCGTGCTCTGTTATTTCTACAGAGTCATAGATTTCTTAATCGAAGCTGAATGGAAGCCGTGTTACTGCAGCTCCGCTAAAGAAACGGTGATCGCCACCAGCTGCGCCGGGAAAATCCTCGTGTCGGAGCAAGGCGGCGGCGGCGGTTGTCGGGATTCCAAGAAGATTGTGACGTGTTTGAGTTCCACCACCACCACCACCGCCACCACGACGACGGCTAATTATAAGTTGCAGCTGGAGGAAGTCTCCGACACGCTCTACACCCGGCCGGCATTGGTCTCGGAAGTCTCCAAGTCCACCGTCAACGACCTGAAACGCCTCAAGGTGGTGGACGTCGTCGTCGACGGAGGTGGCGGCGGCGGAGGAGGAGGAGACAACAAGAAATTAGGCAAGGCGATTAGTAGTAAGAAGAAAGGGAACAGTTATAATTTGGTGAGGCGGTCGACTTTCACGGTGAACTCCACCATCGTGGAAATGCTGCAGGGGAAAATTGGCGGCGGCGGAGGGCAGCCGGTGCCGGAATTTAATCCGATTCCGAGGTGGTCGGACTGCGACTGCGCTACTTGCAACTCATGGGCTTCTTCGTCTAAGGAAACTCTGTACGTTAAGGCCGAGGGCGCCACAAGTGGTCCGTTCATCTCACTTTATTTATTTCATTCTTCCTTTTAATTGAAATTTGTTTCTCCTGAGATTGGGAACAAGAATTTTTCATGTGTTACACAATAATTTCACCCAGTCTATTAACATATAATATTGATGTTATATTAATTTACTAGGTAATTCAATTTTGACTAGAAGGGACCATTTTGATTTTTTGGTACCTCGTATTAGAACTAACACTATTACACTATGAGTAAAATTATTAAACAAATAAAATAGCTAATAATGAATTAAATATGATAAAATGTTACTTATAATTTTGTGTCATGTGCTTGATATTATTTATAGATAAGAGCGGGGGAGTAGTAGAGGACGTGATATTCATTCACGGGTTCATCTCGTCGTCGGCATTTTGGACAGAGACTTTGTTCCCTAATTTTTCCGAATCGGCGAAGGCAAAGTATCGATTCATAGCGGTGGATCTGCTAGGATTTGGCCGGAGTCCGAAGCCGGAGGATTCACTCTACACATTACGAGAACATTTGGAGATGATCGAAAAGTCCGTTATGGAGCCGTATCAAGTCAAGTCATTCCACATTGTCGCACATTCGCTAGGTTGCATTTTGGCGCTTGCTCTCGCCGTTAAACATCCCGGCGCCATCAAATCCTTAACTCTTCTTGCACCCGTAAGTTTCCATTGGATTTTTTTTAATATATTTTACGGTATGTAAAAGTTTTTGTTATGATTAATTATTGCTCGTATTTAGAAACATAGAAATATTATTGGCCATATGAAAGAAATGGGACGAAATCAAAAAGGTCAAAAGAACTGGTCACATAAAAAGTCTTATACTTCATTCATTTGTAAACAACAATCGTTAGTGCGAATATGCAATACAAACATAGATTTTAATTGTTGACAACCATCAACACAAAACTATATATATATATACTCTCTTCGTCCTAAATTTGAATTTTATTTAATATAGATTAAACGGGAAAGGTATATTTTTATAGAGTACACCATGGTGGCATTATTAGGTTGTTTAAGTTATATCGCATTCTATTGTAATAAATAAACTATTTCGCCGAATGATTTTAATAAGAGCATCATAATTTCATTTATAGATAGGGAGACAAAAGAGCTGTCATTATCACCACCAAATATGTAAGTAAATTGAATTTGAACATCTGATGTGGGGTTTTCTACTTTGTGATACTATTAAATATCCGTAATTCTTAGATCTGTTTCAATGAAGTAGGGTAGAATTTAATAATTAAAGAAGTATCAATTAAAATTTATGACTGATTTTTTTTTTTTGGTTGAGAAATTGTTTAAAGCGTTATATGAAAAAATGGCAGCCTTATTTTCCAGCACCAAAGGGAGTGCAAGCAACACAGTACATGATGAGAAAAGTGGCACCAAGAAGAGTTTGGCCACCGATTGCATTTGGGTCTTCAATTGCTTGTTGGTATGAACATCTCAGCCGGACTGTTTGTCTTCTCATCTGCAAAAACCACCGCCTCTGGGAATTTCTTACCAAATTACTTACCCGTAATCGGTATGTTTCTTTTTTCTTTTTTACTTCATACCTAATTCTCCCATTTTCCCTTCTTTTTCTTTACTCAATTTGGTAGCTATCTAGCTTCCTAATTACATTCCCCCAAAAAGAAGAAAGAAAGGGAAAAAGAAAAGAGGGGCCATAATTTAGTTTGGATTATACATTAATAAATTCAAAGAAACAACCAAAATGTGTTGTTAAAGATTGGTTGATAGCATTCAATCCATCAATATCAGGTTACTTTTCTCCCGTCCACTGCCTCCCCAACGGTTTTTGATTCATGACTTTTTAGTAAACATTCATAAATGACGGGGACCTAAATTAATTAATTAAGGAAACAAACTTGTGTATATACTGTTATTATTCACGTCTCGTCCCAAAATAAGCGTCCAATTACTACTTACCTTTTCTTTTCTTTTTTTTTCTTTTTAATGGAAATGCAGGATCAGAACGTATTTGATAGAAGGATTTTGCTGCCACACACACAACGCGGCATGGCACACACTACACAATATAATATGTGGGACGGCTGGGAAGATGGAAGCGTATTTAGATGTGGTGAAGAACCGACTGAAATGCGGGGTAACAATTTTCCATGGTCGAGATGATGAACTGATCCCGGTGGAATGCAGTTTCAATGTCCAGTCCAGAATCCCTCGTGCGCACGTCAAAGTCGTCGAAAACAAAGATCACATCACCATTGTTGTTGGCAGACAAAAAGCTTTTGCTCGGGAGCTTGAAGAAATTTGGAAAAGTTAAAAGAGGATTAATTTACAGCTCACGTACGTACGTATACCCCGCCGATCAATACATATACACCCCCCCCCAAACAAATTACATACTCCCACTCCAATAAGCCAAACGAAGAAATTGGATTGCAATTTTCGACATTTGAAATTAAATCACAAAAACAAACCCTTTTTTTTACTTTTTATATAAATATTGTAGAGAGAAACCGTCATCATAAGAGAGACCGAGATCTAATTTATCCTCGTGAAACACATGGTTTGGATAAATTGGCTTGGCAAGCTTCTTTTTTTTTTTTTCTTTTTCTTTTGAATTTGGAGTCTTTTGATTCCAGTCATCCCATTGAAGCCTTTGTTAATTTAGTTTGTTCAAATTAGGTTTTGTGAAAAGTCAGCATTAATTATATATAATATGAGGCAAGTATGCATTGAATCAACTCTTGTTGTACCTTATTGTAAGTTCATATTCACATTTTAATTGCATCAAGTTATATTACTAGAAAAGAGAGAGATAGCCATGAATTACATTATTACAAGGACAATAATCTGTTGTAGTTCTATTTATCGGTTTATCTCAGAATAGTACTCCCAAAATCAATGTCCTTTTCACTATAAGTACTAATTTAGATCTTAGAGGTAAAGATATTTTTGCAACCAGATTTTTCTGACGCAGTCCACTTTAAAATAGAGTTTCGAACACAATAAACGTTGATTGTGTTCACGATCATGCCCACATTAATATTTCTATCTTTCAATCAAAATTGTCAAGTCTCAGTCGTCACAATCCTCATTGGCGCCAAAATCATAATCTAGAACTCATATCCATATATTGTTCGCGACATTAGATTCTTCATCTTTGAGTTCAATTATGTTGCCGTAAAATTTGTTAGGTAGCAGGTTAATTCCTTACTTGCATCCAATTTAAACACCAACTAGATTTCCGATCGATGGATGCTGTTGAACCACGACAAAGTTATCGTGCGGTTTCTGAAACTACGAGAGGTTCTTGTGTATTATCCAAAAAAAAAAAAAAAAACACAAATATGACAATTTCGGCTAGGATTCGTGCCTCTTTTTTAAATAAATTAGCTTTGATCACTTCAGGGGTCCATACTTTCTCTAGTTTTATTTTAGAAGACACGTATTTAAACCTAATTTAGTTGTCAATTTGGTTGATCTTCAAGGATTTGATGGTTTCTGTCATAAGTGCTATTGGCTCTGACCATAACTTAGAATGAAAATGTTGGACAGAAAAACAGAGAAGCTGCTTCGTGGGAGCATTTGATGCCAATAATCGCAACCAGAAGACCTTTCTAATCGTGAGGAGGCTAATTAAAGGGCAGCTAAAGTTGTTATACTCGTTAAGGTACATTTCCAGACGTACGACCCGAAAGAGAACGATGGTCTTATTCCTAAAACATCAGCATCATCTTAGCCTCTTAGGCAACATATGTTGAAAATAACAGTAATAAATGGCAGTTACGAATATGGATATGAATTTTAGAGACTACACACAATGTGTTAGTACTAAGACATCCACCCGTTATTTCATCACCCCATTAAAAATTTCAAAATAGCAAGTCCCCACTGACACAAATCTCATTTCATTAATTAATGTTTCTCTTTAATTGGACAATATATTTTAGGTAGTACCAATTTAATTTTTTTTAATTAGATTACTCTGTTGTACTTCGTGCCTAATGAAAACGATGTTGTTTTAATATGTAGTAATGGGGTACCAACGTGAATGTAAAGATTGGATGAACTCTAAGAATGATAAATAAAAGGTTTAATAAAGTGATGGAAAATTTAAAAATTTGTATTGAATGAATAATTTCTTATTTTTTCCTTCCAAGTTGACCTTAATAACAAGTTGAGGACTTTACCGTCTGATCTATCATACAGGTAGTTTAAATTGGAAGTTTTCACAAACTCATGACCCTGTTAATAGTTTTACAGAATTAAGAAAATTTGGGTGCAACCTTATAAAAGTACATACTACTAACAACATGCAAGTCATTCCAGAGAAATATACAATATATATAATACTTCCTCCGTCTTAAGAAAAATAGTTCACTTTATTGAACGATTTATGGGTTGTTCAGTTAACGTAGGAATAGTAGATAATTAACAATGATTGATGGACAAATCGAGCTAATCAAATTATTGTGTGCTTAGGAATTTGACAATGCTGAAAACAAAGTCAAGAAAGATAGCTATCTGCTGCCGACCATACATGGCCAAAAAAAAGGGGTGTGCCTTACACTGATTGAAAAAGATTGGAGTGAGCATTAAAAGCTGTTGAGATTTGGTGGTTGCTTGGCCACAATACAACTATTTGAGGCTTGAGAGCATTGATGAAGAAGCGAGGACTTTTGTTTTCTTGATTCCCAGTGTATGCAATTTGCACACCGTTTTTAAAATCATTATGTTTGTTGGCTGGTTGCTGCCCATCTAATTGTGTTGCCTCCTAATCTAATTCACTGTCACTGACCACCCTATATATGTACTCTTTATAAAAGCATTTCCAATGTGATCTGATTTTGTAAATGAACAAATATTGATTTTTCTCCCCTTTTATTTAGGGATGGATGAAATTTATTAAATGTTATCACTCTCAAGTTAATGATTGAAACCAATAAAAAAAACTTTACATTATAAAATATATAGATATCCCCAACTCATGCATACCCTAAAGAGTATTCGAGCTCAAACGAGTCTAGACCATTCACATTTTGCTATTGAACACCATCATTGATTTGACTTTGTACCCCCTTCCAACGCCACAAAATCATTTTTGCTACTTTAGAAAGTATCATTGACATTATATTTCTTCCATGATTTGGTTGGAAATCTAAATAATGAAGAAACTTGTTATCTTTGTACAAGTTATTTTGCAACCGAGTTTAAGTTATACCATTTCTTAGGGCAACGTTTAATCCATTTCAGTCTGCTCGCATTGGTTAGCCTAATAGTGTATATCATTTGTCTAACCTTCCCAATGAAGGACCTATATTTTCTGTTTCTGTTTCTTTTTTTCCCATCGTATTGGGTTGGTTCACTAGAAGAAGAAGAAGAAGTTTCTATGAAAATTCTTAGTCCTTTACTTAACAATTTTGAAGATTCATTGGCAGTCAATTAGCAATAGACCCCAAACTCGGATGTTCGCCTTGTCTCAAAATTTTATGTTTTTTGTATTAAAATAATTTAATAGATTAAATTGTTAGTTTTAGTACGCATTTAACTTTAACATATCATTATCCAAAAAGAAAAAAAAACTTTAACATATGCTTTAATTCTTTACATCCACAAATACAACTACATCGAAATGATACTCCCTTTACATCGAAATGATACTCCCTTCGTCTCAGAAAAGTAATTTATATTTGTTTTATAAATTATATTCAATATAAAATAATTCATAATTTATAATATGGACAACTTTTTAAGGACAGAGAAGATAAACCTACATACGACGTGATAATTTTTTTTTTTTGAAAATTGTACCTGCATATATTAGTTAAAGGAGTTTAAACTTTTACATTTAGCTAAATTATATGCTATATTATGCATCTCAGCTACAACATCCCGAGGAACTTTAGTTATAGAAAAGGAAATGAACGACTTGGAAATGGTTATAATCTCAGCAATTAATTCCTGAACTTCAACCGGTGATTGATCGGGAATCAATTTGGTTGCCAAGAACTCACAATCCGTGAGCACAAGGATGTGCTGGATGTCCATGCTTGCAGCTTCTTGTATGGCATACAGCAGTGTCTGGACTTCTGCTTGTAGGGGAGTAAGTGCATTTTCGAGATTTAATTTGCTGAATCATCCCATGCTCTGTGGTGATTTTCCATGCTCCCGCCGCTTGTAGTGATGCCGGAAGGAAAGATCCATCTAGCATGCTAGTTTGTCCTTGTAAGGCTATATTGAGGTCATCCATCTTTGCTATCTCCTCTGTTTGGATCAAATTTCTCCGATTTCGGTTTCATTCTTTCATACAAAGATTGAGATGCAGGTTGTAGTCTTGTGTGATTGTATTCCACATCCTTGTACAAGCACCCTGTCGGTCTCCCTGTTGTGGATGCCAAATTTGATCATTTCGATCCTTCCAAATTTCCCAAAGGACAAAGATGGACAACTCAATTGCCATCACATCAGGAGCTGTTTTGATCCACTTCAGGATCCGAATTTTTATCCTTTCACTATTTAATTTCTCACTAACTTTTAATTTCATGTGACTATTCATATATGAATGATCCAACGATTTGGTATTATTTTTTTCTGTTTTTTTTAGAAATAGTTGTGTCCTTTTCATTTTAGAATAGTTTTTTTACTAACCATTTTTTAAAAAATATTGTTTATTAAATCTTGGGCTTCCACAAAGTAATAGTTTTTGTATAGCATTAAATTTGGGCTTTATACCTTTGAAGCCCAAAGGCCGGGGAAATGAAAATGTATGTGCTAATGTAATAATTGTAAAAGAAATATTTCCGACTTTGGTTAGAGCGGAAGAAAGAAGACGACGGCGACGACTGAACACGGAGGAGCTGAAAAAATGGGATACATACTGAGAGTGAGGATAGCGTCCTTCTTCACCGGAGTAGCGGTGGCTTCGCTCGCCGGCATATATGCTCTCAATCAGGATTACAAGGCTGCCCATCAAATTCTCACTCATCAGGTTCTAATTATTGGTTTCAGATTCTTATTTTTCCCCCGGTTTTTGTTTAGGTTTTGAGAAATTTGAATACATGGTATGTCAATTTGATTCGCTATCATAGTTTGTTGTTTGTTGCTGATCTTTTGAGTTACTAGTTCATTTGCCCTTTCCCTTTGCGTAATAATGATTTTGTTGATTTTGTTGTCGTGTATCAATATTTTTCGTTAAAATTCAGACCCTTTTGGGTGGGGATTCTGTAGTTCAACAATTTGGCGTATGAGATTAGTGTTATGGTCCTTTCTTTGGGTGACATTGGCTAAAAGGGGTAATTGCTTAGTCTGGAGATCCTCTTCGCATGTGTGAATAGTCTCTTTATATTTTGGTGAACTTAGTAGTAGGCTAGTAGCTGGAAAATTTAGTGCTGCTTGGTGTTTTCGCATTAAATTTGAGATCAAATAACTATTGTACGTGTACCTTGGTTATGGGTGATATCATATGTCTTCATTTAGCCCAGAAATCAGAATTGGCGTGATTTTTCTAAGGCAAAAATGTAATGCTGCTGTGGCATTGTTGGATTAAGTAACATTATGAATCTTGGATAATGAATAAAGTTGGGAATTGGGGTTAGATTGGCATGTATCACAAGATATAATCTTATGCACCGGAACCTCTGCTAGGCTTTGTTAGCCTTTCAAGTATTGGCTAATTGCTGAATGTTGCTTATGTTCCGAGGAGAATGAAAACGCTGTAGTTCAACTCTTTTTTTGGTTGTTTTTCGTAAGAGAATGTAAACCTGATGTGGCATTGTTGCATTAAGTTAAAGAGATCAAACAACTTTATGAATCTTTGATATTATATAATTGCTAAGGAGATTGAAAATGATGTAGTTCAAACTCCTATGTCTGCTATCTTTTCCAGAAAATAGAAAGGAAAGCAGTCATTTACAAGGAAATTTAGTTTGCTTCCAGAAGGGCAAGCCAATTGGATTTGATGTTACCTTATGTGCATGTAATGTCGTTTATGTCTCTTATTACTTATTCTTATATACCTTTGGTTTTCTCTCTTTTAGGCTGATAGCCTTTATCAGTCCCTGGAAGGAAGGATTTCGAGTCTGGAAAAGCTGCAGAAGGAAGTTAAGGAATCAGAGCCTGTTGATGCTGCACCATAGGGATTTTGAGTTTTGTTTGTTGCATGTTATGATCTCTGGTAAGAAAGCTATCTCTGATGGAAGAAAATGAACACTCATTGGGTCAGAGTTTGCCCATTTGTGTACTTGCATTTGAAAAGTGTACTGGAAACAAAGCAACTTGAACCCCTGAATTTGTTATGTCGTGCTACGGTGATTATCAATGTACGTAATGTGACAGGAGAGCTTCTTTCTATTTGCAACTTCGACAAACAAATAATGTGAATTTTTGGTTTTCTAGAAACAAAGTATCTGCTTGTATATGCTTCTGTGATGCTGGTTTCTGCTCCTTTTTTCCCTCTAATTTTTCTTCATTGATCGATTTTATTGTTTTCTGTTACATTTGTTCTCTGCTGCTGCCTATCTTCTATTTCCCTTTAACTTTTCATCGCTTTCGTGCTCTCTTTCGAGCTACTCTCAGGCAGACTTTTAACTGTCACAGGCATTCCTGCTTATTTCAGGTAAAAGTTTCGAGAATGAAAATAAGATGATTGGCTGGTGACGATAGTGATATGTTACATAATGATGCTGAGGTGATTTGATAGTCTTGCCTCTGTGACTTCATTTCCTGTATTACACAGCCCTTTGGAAACTAGCAATTATCATGTAGATGTTGTAGTGTTATAAAATTTCTCGGTCTATCAATTTGTTCAATAAATCTACTTTTGTTGAGCTGGCCTTAAGCCCTCTGTTTCGATTTAATGATTGTCGGTTAAGCAATCCGCTGCGGATGAGGTATATAGATTGGCTCCAGTGGATGACTTCTAGGAGAAGCGGATGGATTACATGAGCAAAATCTCCAAAAGTCGCAAGTTAAGAGGTTAGTTTAATTTTGGCAAGGGGTTACAGACCAGGAAAATGTGTTCATGCTTGCGTTAATTGAAGAACAGAACAGATCAAACTAGAAGTGGAACGTGGCCTCGAATTTAGCCTCAGATCAATCGTGGTTCATTTGGTTCAGTTTTGGCATCATTTCGAACCAGTAACATTTGGAATATCGCTTCTGGTGGCCACAAGCTAAGACAATCTCCCAGCCACTGGGTTGGCCAAGTCATAATTTTAACTTTCCCCCACTTTTTTGGACGAATTTGAACACTAATCTCCAATAAGCAAATGATTAATTATGATGACATGTATGATCCAGCCATTCCCTCAAATCTGACAAAATTAATGAAATCAGTATATAATGATGCATTAGATTCTAATGATTCTTTTTTTAAAAAAAAATATGGAAAATAATAAAGAAGATAAAACCTGAACCAATCATAGACGGGGAGATATTTCAATAACAAGAAGCAAAAGATCCCAGATAACAGAACAATGTGAAAGAAAAAACACAGTGATCAGATTCCTTCAGTACACGAAACAAACCAACCTAAAAGGAAATTACCACTGGCCGCTGTCATTTCGCGGCCATCATTCGGAAGAAGAAGAGAAAATGGTGGCTCTGAGCTTACAAGCAGCAGCTGGAGGACTCCTCCAGAACCAGGTAAGCCTGAACAAGAGAAGCAGTAATGGTAATTGCATAGAAAAACCACAGGCAATAAGCATCATGAAAAACAACAACAGTGGTTTGATGAGGATAAGGTGTGGGATAGCAGAGCCATCAGGAGAGCCAGCGCCGTTTGGACAGAAGACAAAGTACAAGGATGGTTTCTTTGAGAGGGCATTCATGACCTTGTTTGCTAGGAAGATGGAGAAATTTGCTTCATCTTCTTATTCTGGTCCTAACAATGATGGAACAAAACCCAAGAAGAAGGGTTGGTTGGATTATGACTATGATAGCTTTGTGGAGGTCTCCAAGAGTGTGATTCGAGGTCGAAATCGGATGCAGCAACAAGAAGTCGTTCGTGAGGTTCTCCTCTCTATGTTGCCTCCTGGTGCTCCTGCCCAGGTAATTAGCTTCTTCAACCAATTCAATCTATCATCAATACTCATAACTTTTTTCGTATTAAATTCATTTGGAGATGATCTATCCCCTAAGTTTGTCGTCCTTTTCTTGGTTTCGTATCATAGAATCCATAATACATTGTTGTGTTTTTTTAATGGGAATACATTGTTCTGTTATTTGAGAATACAATTTAGTCTTCTGAAAATTATTTTTTCCAATGTCTTTCCTTTTTTAACAAGTAGCGAAAATAAAATGGTGATTTCTGATTTGCTTCTCCTTTTTGTTCTTTTTTTGGAAAGAAAACAACTGTAATTGAAGTTCTGAAAAGCAAAAGATGAACAAAGAAAAGGGCCTGAAAAAAAAAATTGAAAAGCAAAAGGTGAACAAAGAAAAGTTCTTTTTTTGGAAAGAAAACAACTGTAATTGAAGTTCTGAAAAGCAAAAGATGAACAAAGAAAAGGGCCTGAAAAAAAAAATTGAAAAGCAAAAGGTGAACAAAGAAAAGGGCAATTAAAAAAAATTTTAAAAATATGCTGGCTATGGGGTTCGAACCCATGCGCACTTATGTGCAGAAGATCTTAAGTCTTCCCCCTTAACCTCTCGGGCAAACCAGCTAATTTGTTTATTATTTTGTCTATTTTATATTTATAATGTGTTCAGTTTAGAAAATTGTTTCCGCCAACGAAATGGGCCGCTGAATTTAATGCTGCTTTGACAGTCCCCTTCTTCCATTGGTTGGTTGGGCCTTCGGAGGTACTCTCTCTTTCTTCTCCCACTACCCAATTTGGGCCTATCTTTTGTTTCGATCACGCAGCATCGAGCCCAGCTTGTGCATATTCTGCAAAAAAATAAACGATGCTTGTTTTTTTTTTTTTTTTGTTTGAGAAAAGAAACCATGCTCAAGTCTCGTCATATTTGTGTAGGTTGTGGAAGTAGAGGTAAATGGAGTGAAACAAAGAAGTGGAGTTCATATAAAGAAATGCAGGTTTATATACGTACACTCAATCTACATTTTCATATCGATTGGAATAAAGAGTTCTAACTTCACTAGCTACGCACTATATCTTATAATATTGCCCTCTTCCCAGTTACAAGAATTATCACTATTGGTCCTTGATTTTAAAAGTTTTACTAAGACGCCATGATCTCTCTGCTTATTTTAAAGGTACTTGGAGAACAGCGGGTGTGTAGGGATGTGTGTGAACATGTGTAAAATTCCTACGCAGGACTTCTTCACCAATGAATTTGGACTTCCGTTGACCATGAATCCAAGTATGTTCTCCTCTCTGAAAATATCGCAATTGATGAATTTATGTTGGAAATGAATTGAATCAATCAAATCATGCGAACAGCTGATGAAGTAAAACTTGTCCTTTTGTTTTACCTCTTGAATTGGGCAGATTTTGAAGACATGAGCTGTGAAATGGTGTATGGCCAAGTTCCACCATCATTTGAAGATGATCCAGTATCCAAGCAGCCTTGTTTTGCCAATATTTGTAATGTTCCCCCCTCCCCTCAAGCTCTCCAGATGACTTAATTAGTGTTTTAAAACTGATTTTTTTTTTTTTTTTTATTGAAGATATTCATGATGAACAAATTTTCTTTGCAGGTTCCTTGGCTAATGCTAATGCCAATGTATGTCCAAAACTACAAGCCTGAGACCTTTGGACTTCCTCCCCCACAAAATTTTGTAATTTTGTAATCTTCCCCTATACATTAGTGCACATTTGTATGTACCTGAAGATATGGTCTGAAATTGAAAACAACACATTGAGAGAGCTTTATCGAGCACTTGGAAACCCTTGAATGTGAATAGACTTACTCCTGATGATATACAATTTTAGCTCTGTACTTAATTATGATTCGATAACACGTTTCCGCTCTTTATCTCTAGATAATTGCGCCTCATCATCAACAGAATCATATGAATATTTTACACAAACGCGACTTATAAAGTTTAGAGAAATTCCCTATACACAATAAAATGTCACTCTGCAATCAACTCGTCTCCTCCGCACAACCAAGACAAGCAGTTAGGTTCAGTCACTTTTTTTTTTTCCCCCTTTGTCGTACCTTATGAAGCATTGATTATTGCAGCCAAAAATTATGAATACATTTCTTGGATACCCTCTTTGTTATTGGCTACTGAATCATTAAATCCCCCCCATGATAACGTTCATGCTTGGATTCAAAATGGATGCAGTAACGGTTAACTGTTTGGGCACGAGAAGGATGAAAGTGAAAGAGACTTTCCATTTTTGTCCATTTCCGGTGGAACCCCCGTGATTCTCAATATGTTTGCCCACACTCTTTCTTCCCTAAAACAGGAAACCACCAAATTACATGTTGACTTCTCATGGGAGGGGAGTTTCAATAGAGGCAAAGGCAATCACGGTTTCATTCCGAACCAAGTAGAGAGAAAAGTTACGGTTGTTCCTTTTTTTCACTGTTCGTAATAATCGAAATTTTTTTAACTTACAATTTCTGAAAGTTGTTTGAAATGATCATTTTTTTTTAATCCTAATTAAATTGAGCCAACAATGCTCACGGGACATGTAACTATTGGTAGGACTTACACATGGGAAAATAACACAAAAAATTCAGCCAACAAGCAACTAATATATGACTACTCTATAAAAAGTGGCAAAATTTTCTGGTTTCACAAGATCAAGCAGCAAAAAGGAGAGATAGAGTGTAAAAGAGAGCAAAAAATACAGGATTTTGGGGGAGGAATACTACTTGAAAAGAAAACATGCAAAATCAACAGCACATCTTACACTTATTAAACCTTGGTGTGATGATTTGCATTTTGACATTAGTATCATGTTACTATGCTGCAGCAGCATTTACTTCCCAACACTATTCAGAAGCACTTCAAAAATCCATTCTATTCTTTGAAGGCCAAAGGTCAGGGAAACTACCTTCTAACCAGGCCATTTCATGGAGGGCTGACTCTGGATTGTCTGATGGCTCTGCTTACCATGTATACATTAGTTCATCTTCTGCTTATTGCGCTTTTTTTTTTTCTTTTCTTTTCCCAACGCGATAAAAGCTCAAGTTGTAATTTTGCAGGTTGATCTTGTGGGAGGATACTATGATGCCGGAGACAATATGAAATTCGGGCTGCCAATGGCATTCACAACCACCATGTTAGCCTGGAGTATGATTGAGTTCGGAAGCTACATGGATAACCAGCTTCAAAATGACGCGAAATCCGCCATCCGTTGGGGAACAGATTATCTTCTCAAAGCAGCCACTGCCACCCCGAATACTCTCTACGTCCAAGTCTGCTACAATTCATCTCTTCTGTAACAAAATTTGTTTCACACTATCTGTAAAAACTACTTAAACAACAAGCGTATGTATTACACAAGATTTTCAAGAGTCATATGAACTTATCTTTTGGACTAAACAGGTAGGAGATCCAAACATGGATCATCGATGCTGGGAAAGACCAGAGGACATGGACACACCTCGCAATGTGTACAAAGTGACTCCCCAAAATCCAGGCTCAGATGTAGCAGCCGAGACAGCGGCTGCATTGGCGGCTGGTTCTATCGTGTTCAGAGACTCCGATCCTTCTTATTCCACCAAATTACTACATACTGCAAAGCAAGTTAGTACTCCAGAGTTTAGCCTGCTCTTTCAGTTAATCAAAAAACACACAAAGAAATTCGATTTCGAGTGATGAGTTTGCTGCCTGCAGGTGTTCAACTTTGCAGACAGGCACAGAGGTTCTTACAGTGATTCTCTCAACTCTGTTGTCTGCCCATTCTACTGCTCTTATTCAGGATATCAGGTAACAGAAACACCATTCTTAACTAAATCACATTCTTAATTTTTTTTTAAAAAAAAAAGCAGTTAATTAAGGAATGTTGAAAATGTAGGATGAGTTGTTGTGGGGAGCATCTTGGCTTCACGCAGCTTCGGAAAATGCATCCTATTTGGCTTACATTACATCCAATGGCGACGCAATGGGCGCAGAAAGCGATGACTATTCCTTCAGTTGGGATGATAAACGTCCTGGAACTAAAGTCCTGCTCGCAAAGGTTTTGATATTACAGCAATTGTCGATTTTTTTTTTATTTTTTTTGTGAATTATTCAGGTCAACATCATGACTTTATATTCATTCATTGATTCAGGTATTCCTGGAGAAGAATAGCCCTGGATTTCAATTATACAAAGAACATTCTGACAATTACATATGCTCCCTCATTCCTGGAATGCCGAATTTCCAATCCCAATACACCCCTGCTGGACTTTTGTACAGGCAGAGTGAAAGCAATCTTCAATACGTCACAACTTCATCTTTCCTCCTCTTAGCATACGCCAAGTATCTAACTTCAAGAGGAGGAATTGCGGCTTCTTGTGGATCATCAAGCCTCACCGCCAACGAAATGATTAAGCTAGCTAAGAGACAGGTTGACCAAAAAAAAAAAAAAAGAATCATCTTTAATGCGTTTTACATTCTGACACCTATATATTACAATTATTACATCTTAACTAACGTTCCAGAACACCCAATTGATCTGCAGGTTGACTACATACTAGGCGAAAATCCTGCGAAAATGTCGTATATGGTCGGATTTGGGGAGAGATATCCACAGCATGTTCATCACAGGGGTTCTTCATTACCATCCATCCAGGCACAACCTCAACAAATCAGCTGCAATGATGGGTTCAGGTATCTGGATTCGGGTTCGCCGAACCCGAATGTTCTGGTTGGTGCCGTCTTAGGAGGGCCTGATAGGCAGGATAATTATGCAGATGATAGGAGGAATTATCAGCAATCTGAACCAGCTACCTATATCAACGCTCCTTTTGTTGGAGTCCTGGCTTTCTTCGCCTCCCAAACTTAACAACAACAACGATCAATGATTTAGCAGTACAACTGTACTTCATCAATCCTAATAATTTCTAAAAGGCCATCCTGATGACTGATGATTTTATTCGTATATTCTCTCTGTCCTAAAAAAAACAGTTCACATTTATAATTTTTAAATTTATAATATTTTTAATATTACAAATATAAAAAATGTGAACTACTTTTCCGTGAACCATAGAGTGAATTGTACCGAGTACTGGTAACAAAAGTTGATAATGATTTACAGCAATATATTGATAAGAGTGAGTGTCACTATAGAGCCACAAAAAAAGACGATCTTTTTTTTTTTTTTTGAAATGGTAAAAAAGAAGATGTTGTTTGTACTCCCGTTGATGATTTGGAGGATGAATTTGTTCTATAGGCTGATTTTGGACTTTTAGAAAGGGAAATTTTCATATTTTAGTAATGTATATGATTTTAAATAATAAAAAATATATTGAAATACTTACAATGAAAACTAAAAACAATAATTTGAGCCACATTGTTCCTTATAAAAATATCTAATAATGTTTTCCTGTGTTTATCTATTATTCATAATTTTATTAGAACTTTGAAAATTAAAAAAAAAATCATGGAAGATTTTCTTGAAATCCATTGCTTCAGAAAATTCATATCAAAGGGGTAATTATGAAAAAAGAACTCCCTCCATCCCAGAAAAATTAGACTAGGAATGGAGGTTTTAATTTACAATCTAGATGATAATATCTAGAAATGTAGATTACATATGTGATTATGTAATTCGAGATCAAATGGTTTTATTTATATATTTCCTCCACTTTCTATTTGATATTTGAATAATTAAAGAATTACAATAATTCACTAACACAACGTGTATTTTTTGTATTTCTATATTCTATTTTAATGTTGAAAAAAATACTATAACACTTATACTTAACATTTTTGTTTTCAAAATAATTTGATTTTTCTTATTTGATAATTTCTATTTATGTTTGTCTGCCGTCCAACGGACGAGTTTAGCATATACTATCTAGTAAGGTTTTCTGGTATTTATCAATTATTCATGATTTTATTAGAGTTTAAAAAATAAAAAATATCATGGAAGATTTCTTGCCTTCTTGGAGTATAGACATTAATCCAACACGTCAATTTCTGCCGGAAAACCATCTTTTTTCTTTCTTTTTTTTTTTGGAAAATTTTGGATCAGAAGCAATGGAAATGGTTAAATTAATAAAAGAGGTAAGATTTTAAAATAACACGCTATGTGTGGATCAGACTTTAAATAATCTACTCTATTTTTCCAGACTTTAAAGAATCTCAACGTCTTTTGATTTGTGATCGTAAATTCTGAAGGGAATAATGTTTTTTTTTTCTTTCTTTTTTTCCCCTTTTTGTAAATCGGGTAGTCCATGAATCAATACCTACGCTAAGTTAAAGTGACAATTGAACATAATATCTCTCTTAAGAAATATAAGAGTAATTTTATTACTAAACCACAATCTCGTTCATAATTTCAGAGTTTGAACTTTAACTGGTCATAATTTCAGAGTTCACTTAACTTTGATCATCAAGAATTTTGTATCTCAATTGGTGTTAGACCATTTTCAGTGATTTTAATAAAAGTTTATTTCTTAAAAAAAAAAAAAAATCAAATCAAATTAAATTAGAGAACCGTTTCAGAAAAACATTAACTATATTGAATTACTTCGATCTTTTTTTAAAAAAAAATTAATTTTTGCTGGAAATAGAAAATCAAGAAATGAAAATTTTAGAGTCATCATTACTTACATTACAGTTAGACATCCAAAACAAAGGGAAAAAAAGAAAACCACACACACATTAACAGAAACTATCCCTCTCATTGCCCAATCTTTTTATACATCTAGGTGAAGCATATATTGGAGGTTAATTAATGCCTAACAGAGAAAAATTATCTGAAGATGTCATCCCAAAAAATAAACACAAAACAAAAACTACAAGAAATACAATTAAACTGATCTTCAAGCAATACTAATATAGGAATTAGCTATCTGGGTCTGGGCAGTTTGTATTTTGGTATCAACATTCTTTCGTAAATAACACAATATTGCTATTTACCAACATACATTTAATCACTTAAAACCTTCTGTAACGAAAATCCTCATTGTTTATATGAAAAATCCACACAAAACGTCTCAAAGTGATATGCATAATCATACCAACCCAAACAATTGATTATCTTTGTCTTAAAGTATGTGACATTTGTCAAAGAACAGAGCCCGCCGGAATCATGTTCATGAAGTGCACAATTTTTTATTTTTTTTTTTCATTTGAAACAAAGGTATTTAATTTGGAAATGGGATTTCAGGGACAACATATTTCCATTTTTCGTGCAATCAGCAATGAGATTTCTCTACATTACAAGAGTAGTTTGAGTTAAACTTATGTTCAAATGTTTCCTTTGGTATTTGGACATTTTTTTTTATCATAATCACATTAGTTTCTTCTAATGTTTTTTCTGAACAGAAATTTTCTTTGTTTCCATCATAATTGCTGGAACCTATCACTTTGAGGGTTGGACTGAATTAATTGGTTTGTTATATCATAAAGACTTCGATAAAAGCTAAGTATAAACTATAAAATCATTGCAATATCGGTTGATATTAAAATTTTAATAATTTGCTCAAAGTTAACACATCACGATGCTAAATTAATTTTGAAAAATGTACTTGTTTTAATAGTAATCCCTGTCTAAAAAATTTCAGTATAAACTTTAAACTTCAATATTCGATGTGGATTATTTTTTGGGGCTGGAAGTCACAAGATATACTTCATATATATCATGTACGTAAATTTTTGTATACTCATATTGTCCTAAAATAATTTACTCTAGCATAATTTGTACTTGAGATGAAAATTCAAAGTGGGCAATTATTTTTGGACAAGAAAAAAAACTTAAAAGACTTGCAAATTAAAGTGTTAAATTAAGTTGGTTAATTTAAGGATCAAACATAAGGAATTATTATATGAATATAATATATGGACACGTACTAATTGCGTTTTATACGTGGTAACCGTTATCATAATTTTACAGTGATTTTGATTTGTTTGAAAAAGCTGTAAAAAACACTGGACTTTTGTCCATGTAGCCGTTAAACTTGCCCGAGTCCTGAAAGCCCAGCGTTCGAAATAAATAAAAAAATAAAAAAAAAAAGAGCCAAGTAAAAACGAAACTAGGGCAAAACGTAAGACAAAATTTAGGAAATTTTTGAAACACAAAACCAAACAGATTTGGGAAATTAAAGGTCGGCTTAATCGTGCCCATAAAAACTAACCTACAAGGGTAACATCTGATCAATAAATCATTGTTTCTTCAATCTTCAATAGAGTACCTATAGGAGCAAATGTAAAACGGTACGATAGAATCTTTCATTAAAAGTGTTCAAAAGAAAAGTAAATACCTCATATATACAATTGAAGATGTGTTTAAACATAAAGGCACCAATCATATGTATAAGACCAAATGGATCTTTATAGATATTCTCTCAAACATTGGTTTTTTGTTAGAAATCATACATGTTCATCTGCAAAATTTAGATTTGCAAATTATATTAATTGCTCCATCACAATGAACAAAAAGATGGAGCCTCCAGAAAAGGTTAAAATATATTATGAATTTTAAAACTCCAATCTTTGGGGTTGATGATGTTGGGCTTTACTATTCGATTGGCTTATTGCTTGTTTGACGTGTTAGTTACTCTAAAAGGAGATCTATTTGCTACTTGATTGGATGATAATCAATTTGACGAATTAGTTATCCCAAAATCAGTGGGAGAAGTGATAACAGTTGATTAATAAATTAAATGGACGGCATCATTATCTCATTAGATCCTCAATAATATAAACCTGAAGTTCAAGAGATAATGTTTAAGACCAGATATTTATATGACCAAAACGTATAATTATGTTTAAAATTTTGATGTTACCTCCCTGAACGATCATCTACCACTGTTGTTTAATTTAATGTCCATTTGATAAGTAGTAGAACAGTCGATTCTAATGATAAGAGTTCTCGTAAATTATAAAGTTTAAATCTATTGAGATGGAAAATACAAGTGATTAAATAATTTTTTATTACTATGAATATATACTTCCAGAAGAATAACACAAATATTTAAAAAATTTAGTGACTCTGAGATCTCATTACTAAAGAAAAATGGAATCGATCGGCAATGAAATGTCGACATGAAATTTTGATTATGTTGCAGTTGTTAGTAATATGAATGAAAAAATCATGAAATAAAAGTCTATTGTGAGTGCAGACATTAAACTTGTGGCCATAATAAATGAAAAGACGCAATAAGCACACCTGAAGATGTGTAGGTACAATGAAAGTGCTTAAAAAAACTAGAAGTTTTGACAAATAATATACCGACGAAATGTTGTTGGGTATATTAACGAGCAACCAACTTGTTGCACAAGTTTTTCCATTGTTTGGATGTTAATTATGGGGAGATATATTCTCTTGTGGTAAATGGAAATAAAATTCTTCTTTTATTTGCTATATCTAGTAGCAAATAAAGAAATAAAAATGCGTCTATTGAAAATAGTGATCACTTAAAACTCGAAATTTAATAATAATGACGTCTATGTGAAATCCCCGAAGGATTCAATAAAGGATATGGTTCCGATTCTTGAGAAATTAATTCGAAAGACTTGAGCAAATACGAGTGTCTTCATGATTTTAGACAATATTTAGGTGCATGTTTTTGAATGTTTAATTTATTTACTTATTTTTATAAGCATGTTTTATTCGAATATGTTATGTTTGACTATTTGTGATTTGTATATGTTTATATGATCACATTTATATGATATTGATATGTGTTCATTATATACATTTGTGTTTAGAACTCAGTTAACACTGAACTCTTGAAGAGTTTGAAAAGGTTGAATATCATCGAAACTTATTATGGAATTCGAGTAGCCTCAAAACTAATATAACTCCTGAGGAGTTCATCGTAGTTATTAAGAGTTCAAAGAAGTTCAAAAGGTTGCTACTTGCTTGAAGTAAGAAAAATGAGAGAATTTGAGTAGAATCTCGGTCTTAGTTTGACCTTAGTATATATACATTTAACTCCTGTTGAGCATACTTGATTAAAATCTTGGTATGCGTATAGATCCTCTATCGACCTTCTAATAATGATGTAAACCGATTTGGTCATGAAGTACCATATTGTAATGCTTATAAAGTATCGGTTTATCTTTGTCAATTTCTCAAAAAATGAAATATTGCATACATTAATACTTTGTGGTACAATGGTTATGGATCTCTGTTATTCTGAATTACTCAATATTAAATATGGCAAGTGAAGATGATCATCTGTATGGGAAGTTAAAGTGATTGTTTAGCAAATCAATGTATTATAGATTTCAACATTGGTAAAATTGATCAATATTTTAGAATGCGACGAGAAGATTACAAGTGATATACTCAACAGGGAGAGTACCCGATGTTGTACTCTTTTTCCCTTGATCGATGTTTTGTCCCATGAGTTTTCCTGACAAGGTTTTTAACGAGTCAGCGTCATATTCAGGAATGTACTCTTTTTCTTTTATTAGATTTTTATCCCACTGGGATTTTTCTATTAAAAGTTTTAACGAGATATTATCCCAAGAAATGGACATCCAAGAGGGAGTGTTGTGAATATTTAATAATGTGGATGTCCACAAATCAGAAAAGTTATACAAGGAATCAAATGTATGGAAATAATATTTAGTTAGATATTATCATTAGTTAGATCTTATCATTATTTATTCTTATCCTTGTATCCATCTCCTCTATAAAAAGAGAGCGGTCTCTGCAAAGATAATAGTAAGATCAATTCTCTCTTTCTCTCTCTTTCAACTTGTTCTCTCCCTCTATTGTTCTATCTCTACAGTTTTTCATATTTATTTTATAACATATATCACAATTATTTACAACAGATTTTTTTTTAAACCCACTGCTATTGGCCTGAGCTTGGAGGCCAGTAAACGTAGGTAAAATCCTGGGGAGAATTCAACCTTAATTTCCTCCCAGAAATCACAGCACCTAACCAAACTTTTCAATTCCCAACGTATGTATTACAATATAGTACATTAGAAGCAAACCAATAACTAACTAAACACATGACAGCATCATTCACTAGCAGCTAAAGAAACAGTATTAAAAGCAAAATTATCAACTAAATTCAACACAATTCATTAGAAGCAAACCAATAAGTTATTCATACGATGGGCACGTAGTTCACTAGCAGCTAAAGAACAGCTAATTTCACAGATGCATGTATTAATCTCATCAATTGTGTCTTGACACGTTTTCTAGCCTTTTTTTTTTCTTGTTAGGACGCTCGACACGTTGCTGCCACCAGAAATTTTGACAACGAGGGTCGACAATTATTTTTTCTAGAGCCATCGCATTTCCGAAAGATATTTGACAAGCTTATCCTCTCTTTTACGACCATAATATCCATGAAACTCAACAACTTTAAGATGTTTGAGAGAAACACTTGGAGCGGTCTCATATTATCTTTTCTTTTTAGCAATATCGTCAGACCAACACAGCTGCAAAAATAGATGTGAAAATGAAAATTAAGAAGAAAAGAAATTCCCTATAGTTTTTAAGCTTTGAAAGACTTTATTTTAAACGAGGTCTTGTTCATTTCGGGGTTGGCTCTACCTCTTCCTACCCTAGAAGGATTGTTACGGCAAATCTTACATGAAATCTCTAATTTCGAACCTGAACTTATCACTCAAAACTTGCCTAGAGTAGTTTAGTTTGAAAGCTATTACAATGGGCATAAATTTACACCATGTTGCCAAAAAAGAAAGAAAAGTTATTTTCCAAACCCCTATATTTAAGTTTTGCTTGAATCCCTAAAGTTAACAGTTTTAACTCTCCAGTTTAAGTTTAATTTTCAATATGATCGTCTTATTCCAAATCTAAAGAAATTAACTTTCCTTTTTCTATTGGGAAGAGTTTGAGCACAAGTAAAGAAGAAAGGTGGGGAGGCTTCTCAGAGCATGGAAGTTAACCAAGGATCGTCTTATTCCAAATCTAAAGAAATTAACTTTCCTTTTTCTATTGGGAAGAGTTTGAGCACAAGTAAAGAAGAAAGGTGGGGAGGCTTCTCAGAGCATGGAAGTTAACCAAGGCTGACAGAAACCAAAACAGGGTTTTTGTAGAGTAAATGTAGCTTCTAAAATAGCTACTAGAAGTGAAGGAGTTGGTAGAGCTTTTACCATACGTACTGAGGAAGGGGATCTCATTGTGGCAACATCCTCTTTTCTGCAAAAGCAAATATCTGAGTGTGCAAATGAACTTGAAACAATAAGAACAGCACTCCGAGAAGCTCAGGCAAGAAGAATAGATAAGATAGAAGTGCAATTAGATGTAAAAACTATGATTACTTGGTTACAAGGACGCTCTAACCCTGTTTCAGAAGTAGCAACCATAGTTGACGACATCTTTTTGCTTAAGGAATTTTTTATTAATTATAAGTTCCTGTTTATCAGAAAAATTTAGAATTCTAGTTGCTGCAATTTGGTTAAGTTAGCTTTGTCTAGCAAATGTACATAATTTTGGAATAGTGATATTCTTCTGTGGCTAGATGAAACTTTTAAAGCCGATTGCAATAGCTCTTTGTAAGTATTATATTTTCTTTTTATGAGAAATGAATATGGTCCTTGACAAAAAAAAAAAATATGAATAGTGATTCATTTAATCAAATATTTTATGTAATGTAAAGCTACAAAATATAATAATTAACATAAATTTAAGTAAGTGGTCATATGATCTTTTCATATGTGTCAATCATACTTTACACTATTAATTATTCATAATAAAGAAGATGTACTTTAATTTTATAATCAGTCGTGGCGGGCAGAAATATCTAGTTTGAAGCTAAACGTGTGAAAGGGCTAGGAATCTCAATTAGAAAACAGGCTCCCCTTACACACTTTAATGGACGCCTATGATAGTTCTTTTTCTGGGCTGCTATTGATTCATATGCTATTTGCAATTTTTGTTTTCTTTCTTGAAATGTCAAAGAATGTTTACTTGGCGCTTCAAACGTATCCCATGGGGATGTGATTTGTTGCATGTGTGTTAATATAACCAAAAAAAATCAAAAAGAAAAAAAAAAGAAAAAGAAAAATTAAGTTTATTTTAAACTTACTTAAAAAAATAATAAAATTTAAGTACGTTTTAAACTTTTATTTTATTTTTAGTAAAATTTGCATTTGCATTTTCATCAGAAAAAGAAGTAGAAAGTAAATTGTGTTCGGTAAATCAAATAGCTAAAATACAGAGGCGGAGAAGGGTAAGAAAATGATGAAGACAGACGGCGCCGGGGGCGCCGGCGCCGCCAGTATCCCGATTGTCCCGCTCCTCCTCTGCTTTGTTCTCTTCTTCGTTGCTCCGGCACCCGTTCTTTCGGAGATCCGTTCATCCGAAATCCGCAACGATGCCCGACTCATTGTCCCATTCGGCGAGTTCGGGTTCACTCCCCGTGGTCGCCTCCAGCTGAATGTCTCCGGCATATCTTTCTCCCCTTCGCCGCCGACCAACCTCGATCTCTCCAAAGTGGGTTTCTTCCTCTGCACCCGCGACGGATGGGTCCGGGTCATACAACAAATCGAGGACTCCGAGATCACATGTATCCTCAACTCCGACGCCGTCATTCCCATCTTCACCTTCCAAGACGGCGTCGTCCCGTCCTTCACCAAAGACTACAACGTCACCGACCCCGATCGGTACACTCTCGCCTTTGCCAATTGCCTCCCGGAAAAGCTCAAAGTTTCCATGGACGTCATCTCTTCCATGTACAATCTCGAGAAATCCAGCTCCGGCGACAGCATTACCCTTACCCGGGATTACCTCTCCGCCGGTAAAACCGTACTCCCTAGGGTTTACTTCCTTTTCTCTATAGCCTATTTCGGATTAGCGGGTTTATGGGTTTACGTTCTGTACAAAAAGAGAGTATCGTTTTATGCAATTCATTTGTTCATGCTGGCTGTGGTAATTCTGAAAGCGTTCAACTTGCTGTGTGAAGCTGAGGACAAGTCTTACATAAAAAGAACGGGAACTCCACATGGATGGGATGTTTTGTTCTACATTTTCAGCTTCTTTAAAGGGATCACCTTGTTCACCTTGATTGTCTTGATAGGGACAGGGTGGTCTTTCTTGAAACCTTATTTGCAGGACAAAGAAAAGAAGGTTCTAATGGTGGTGATCCCGCTTCAGGTGGTGGCGAATGTAGCGCAGGTTGTGATCGATGAGACTGGCCCATCCGGGGAAGATTGGATGGCTTGGAAACAGGTTTTTTTGTTGGTGGATGTGGTTTGCTGTTGTACGGTTTTGTTCCCAATTGTTTGGTCCATTAAGAATTTGAGGGAGGCAGCACGGACAGATGGGAAGGCAGCCGTGAATTTGATGAAGTTGACGTTGTTTAGGCAGTATTATGTTGTGGTCATTTGCTATATTTACTTCACAAGGGTTGTAGTTTTCGCATTAGAAACCATTACTTCCTATAGGTATGTTTGGACAAGTGTGGTGGCAGGAGAATTGGCGACCCTTGCGTTTTATGTTTTCACGGGGTATAAATTTAGGCCTGAGGCTCACAATCCGTATTTCGTGGTGGATGATGAAGAAGAGGAGGCAGCAGCTGAGCAGTTGAAGCTTGAAGATGAGTTCGAATTGTGAAGAAGCTGACTCCTGCCTTTCTGGCATCACTGTTAATAATCATAGGATGCATGGATCAAAAGATCTCACTTGAGATTTTAGTCTACACTATGATACCGAGACTTGCGTATTAGGTGATTCTGTTTCAGTTCTTTAACATGCTGATAATTCTTTTGTCCATGTTTGTTTCATATTGTTGCTTCTGTGGGATATGTTTGACAAAGCTACTTTTCTGTGAATGTATCTGGTTATTGTAAGTAGTGCCTGTACAGATTTTCTTCCTCATAAAGTCTCTTATATGTTCCTCAAAATAATTTTGATTCAAGAAACCAACTTTGCCTGCATTTCTGCATTTTGAGTTTGCATTGATGTTCCATGGCTTCTATGTTGTTCTTTTGGCATTTTCAATTTATGCAGATTGTGGTACTGAAGTAGAGATGTCTAATTAGCAGATAAACATAGTGCGGGTGTCTCATTTCACTATCAAGTCTTGACTCTTGAGAAGAAAACAGTTGCTCTTGTTGACAATTAAAGGGCTCGCACGATCTTGAAGAAGTTTGCACTGATGAGAACTAATTTTGGTTTTGCTAAAAACAATTTATTAGAAATCTTCTCCCCTTAACGAATCTGATTGGGATTGACTGTCAAGTAATATGACAGTAATTTGTCATGTGGGTACCTTCGTAGTTAAGTTGTGAGTATCTTAACCTCGAAAGCATTGAATTAGGTTTTCAGTAGTTGTCTGTCTTAGGGTAATGTTATAGAAACATGGAGCCTGATTCAAAAGTATAATTCTTATTATTATTTGAAACAGGATTCAAAATTAGTTAACTTTATCAGCCACCCAATCCCTTACTATAAACGATACTGAAATGTGTGTCTGAAACTGGCATTTCACAGTTAGAGATGTCTTATCACGTCCTATTTGAGTACCCTTCACTTCAAAGATACAATGTTTTGCATTTTGGGATTTTTGTGGCAGTTTCAATCATATTCATTCTGTTTTTCTTGTCTCCCTGCATCTGCTACACCAGCAACTTTAAGCTCCATCATCTCGGAAATTCTCCAGTGGTGGTGGAGCAGCACTGTACTTGTTTTTAGCAAGTACCTGGAGATTAACCATGAATGGCCATCCTGATCACTGCCTTCCGAATAGATGTTCTTTTCTCCTGATCTTACGGTTTACTTTTATTGTTCTGAGTAAATCTTGCTCCAGAAATTAAAGAAGGCTGTAATTCACAGGAAGAAATCTTGAGCAATTCGAGTTTTTTTTTTTTTGAGTTAGGATGGTCGTATTGATAACTGATTAGGCACTTGTTCTGTTGCTCCACTTATATTTTCCTCAGGATTACCAATATTTTTTCAATTTCTCTGCATATTGGCTGTCCACCACTTTACTTGACCATTGGCATTGTTGCACAAATCGCAACAGTAACCTCCAAATTGTGACACACATTGCACAACAAACTGACAGGATTTCTGGTTCAAGCTGATTTTATTATTATTTATTATTATTTTACTTCATTTTAGCTTATCTGGTTCCATCCTTGATAAATCTGTCAGTTCAGATAGCATCAATTGTATAACCTTTAGCAGTTAGCACTTAGCACTATGATAGTGTGATGAAAAGGTTGGAGCTTGCTTCACTGTCAGTCAGACATGAGAATTCATCATGATACTCATATGGGGTATTCACTCAATCTTTTAACAACAATTGGACTCGTGATAATGCGAGGAGGGAAGCTCTCCCTTCTTTGATGCCCATTCTAATGGCAATAACTAGTGGTTGTAAAAAGCCTGAAAGTCAATAATTTGGTAATGAAGGAAAAAAAAGATGGGAATATGTTGGAATATGGCCATCATCCCATGTGAAATGATCTCTAGAATAAATCATGAGAGTTTTGTTTTGGGACCCGTTAAAACTTAGGCAATTGGGATCCTGCTCCTTAAGCTAAAAGTTTCTTCCTTTTCTTTGAGACAGCCCATCACTGATTCCTGAGTTGGAAAACAAGATTGGATCGATGATGATGATGATGGATGTTCTTCATTTCTATCACCTTTACGATATCTTTTAAAAACGTCAACCCAATTCTACCACTTCATTTATTTGATTGACCTTAAGAACTAGCAAACCATAATTTCTACTCATGACAGTATCATAATTCTCCTTAACTAGACATCTTTTTGCATTACAGTTGAACTGATTTCAAGCTCAACTTGATCAATTCCTTTTCCATAAGCATTAAGAGATGAAACGTATGCAAATGGGATAGAAAAAATATTAGTTCTTTCTCCCAAATCTAAGTTACCCAGGATGTATGACTTGGTAGGGCTTAATGTACAATGATGGGGACAGATCAAAATAAAAGACTTGAAACCTTAGGCTACCACCACCAACCATGGCAGTAAATTAAATAAAAAGAGGCGCATGTGATGCATCTTTTTTCATTCTACACAATCCATTAGTCTTAGTCTTGGAAGCACTTAGAGGGAGGGGATAGAATGGTCCTACAAAACTTCAATAACACAACACAAAAGCAAAAGGCAAGCAAAAGAAAGATGGATGGGATATTAGACAGCAAAGAGAAAAGCTAGCTTCTTCCAAAGTGGTAAGAAACGCACATTTTAGAGAAAGCAAAGCGAGAAGAAAGGAAGAAATCAAGAATGACATTGGAAGAGAAGGAGAGGATGATGATGATGATGATCAGGAAAAGCCCTGAAGAAAATCTGCAAATAGAATCCATTACCAATGATCCCTTCATTTTCTCTGCTACATTACCAGCTTGGAAGTTGTATGAGAATCCTTTTTACACAAACAGCAGTAGTACTCCTCAATTTCCAACTCAATACCAAATCCATCCAACAAAAACCAACCAGCAGGACCAGAATCACCAGCCGGAGAAGCGAATTCATCGTCTGCAGCTTCCCATTTCCACGAGGAAGATATCGGCATCATTCTGGGATCTTACATTCATCAAGCCATTGATGGAATCCGAGCTTGAGCTGGCTCGAGCAAAGATCACAGAGCTGAAGGCCGAGCTGGAAAGGGAGCGAAGGGCGCGAAAGAAAGCCGAATCCGCGAATAAGAAGCTTGTAAGAGAAATGTCAGAGGCAAAGAAAGGGAAAGAATCACTTGAGAAACTCTGCCAAGAGCTTGCGAGAGAAATATCATCCGACAAGGCGGAGATGGATCGAATGCGCAAAGACATGGAAGCTGAGAGGAAGATGTTACACGTGGCAGAGGTTTTGAGGGAAGAGCGCGTCCAGATGAAGCTCGCAGATGCCAAACTTGCACTGGAAGAAAAGCTGCATGAGCTCCGAGAACCCTTTTCATCATCATCAGAGGGCTCCAGATTGAATAGGCCTAATCAGCCATCAAAACAAGCAACAAATCATCATCATTATAGTCTTAATCATATCTCTTCTGGCTGTGGAGATGAGGTGAAATTTTCGGGCGTTTTGGCTGAGAAAACAGATTGTGATAATCTCAGCAACATTGATTGTGCTATCATTAATGCCCCTTCCTCAACCAATTCAAGTCATCAGCCAGAAAATCCACATATCAGAAGAGGGATCAAAGGATTTGTGGAGTTCCCAAAAGTGGTTAAAGCAATAGGTTCAAAAAGCAGCAAGCATTTTGGAACCAAGTTGGAGTGTCAAAAAGCTCAGCTCAGGACGTTACTGCTGAATAGAACAAGGAGCAGCCCCATTGCTTCATCAGCAACTAATTAACCTTATTATTAATACTAGCTAAGCTAATTAGCAATCTTTCTGCTCTTTTCTTTTATTTTTCCTTTGTGGGTTTGTTCAAGGTTGATCTGATTTATTCATGATCTTCTGTTTTTTGTAGTGAATGAATTTTTTTGCTGTAAATATACAGGTGTTGTTATTCTTGTGGTTTCTTTCAATAAATTTATTTTGCAGTGCATTGAATTGTTTTTCATTTGCTTCTTAATCTAATTTATCATAACTACTAACTACTATCATCTGATGTGGAGTACCCTTTTTTTTTTAATAAAATGGAAGCATATGGAGTACCTTTTGAGTATTATAAAAATGAACGGAGGAAGAGAGACTAATGCAAGTCCACAATCTACCATTGTGGAAGCCCAAATTTAAAACCACATTTGGAAGTGTCTTATAGCTTCCAAAGCCCATATTATCTAACAGCCTTAGTTTCTGGACTCTAGGAACACTGATCATTCCTCACTTTGATGTCACATCTCCGATTGGTCCCTCAACTAGAATCATTAGTCACATTTGATCCGGTGATTTGATTTTAGGTGTTTCAATTCAAATATCTCCAATGTCAGTCTAAAAGAACACCCTACTAGTTTTAGCCAGCATGCAACATGCACATGTACTGCTGTCATCATGTGTATGCTATGATTTTTGACATAAAACTTTTTCTTACATTCATACATTTTCAATCCGATAAGAAGCGTGTTCAATACATCTTTTTACTTTCTAAACTAAATTAGAAATGAAGATAGCCCACTGTTTTGTAAATTGTAAGTAGCAGTGCCAAACTAACATATATAGCATTAGAGGAAGAATCATCTCAAAGTACTCCTACCTTGATTCCTATTCAAAGAAGAATCCAAACCTTAGGACATTTTCTTCTAAGCAACAAAAATAAATGATTACAAAAAATGGACAGCCTAATAATGATCCCTATTGAAGTTGTTGATCATCTGAACCACCACCTTAATTCAGTGGTAGAACATGGTGAAATCTCCCCACCATTAATGCTTTCTGTATAGCAGGATTGCTGTTCCATCCCAACATATCCAGCTTGCATGCTCTTGAAGCTAGGACTCCTCAAGTTCTGAGAGTAATAGTTCATACTACTTGAACAATTCGAGTATTCCTCGCAACCCTCCCTTATTGGAGTAGGCGGAACCGGAAATGACAGCCGTTTCTTTGCCAATGCAGCTGATCCTAATCCACCTCCACCCCGGTGCTCCCTCTCCGGCGTCGAGGGCCGTTGTCTCGGGGCACTCTGGGACCGGACCCTGGCTTTCGCCGATGCTGTAGCCGCCATGTAATTAGGAACGTAGCCATTGTTCCCCGCGCTACTGAGGCGGGGGACGGCGCTTGCCGTGTTTAGCCTCTGCATTGACCTTAAGCTCGGAGTGTTAGCTGCAGAGTAGCTCCGCGGACTCGGGGTTCTCGCAGGCGTTGTGCCCGCCGGTTTGGCCTTAGACAATGGAGATGGCGTTGATGGCGCCTGAACCCCGGTTTTCAGGCCGCGTCCCGGGGAAGGACAAGCGGAAGGAGCAGGAGATTGGTGTCTCATTTTACGGACATTGTTGTTGGCTGGTGACGAGGATGCCAGTGATGCAGAGTATCTCTTTGGCGTTGTCATCATCACGTTATGATTGTGATGATTTGTATCCATCTCAACTGTCTTCACGAAAGAGTCTCTTTTATGATCCGTTGAAAATCTTCTGCTGTTGCCTAGTTGCTTTGTCTCCATCCATTGTTCCAGCCAATTTGTTCTTTGATCTCCAACCTCAATATCCTCATTCTCCTCTGGGTTATTCCATATCTAAACAATATGCACACAACAACAACTTAATCAATCAATTTGTAAATCAGATTTTATACATACTTAAAAGGGATTTAATAAAGAAAGGGGAAAAAAAATCTTGATTGGATTACCTTTTGAGAGAAAGCATAAGCCAAAGAAGAAGATGAAGATGATGTAGTTTCGCGTTGTAGAGCAGCTGCTGCTGCTGCTGCTTCTTTTCTGGATTGTAATCGTTCTTCTAGCTCTTCCAGGGTTCTTGGGCAATCATCATTCCAATTCCAGTTCCAATCTATGGAAGAAACGCTGCCCCTCCGATCCCTAGTCGACTGCATTATACATTTATTTCATCATAAAAAAAATGAAGAACACATATCCCTGGTTTTTTTGACTTGGCAATTCAAACAGAGTTTTCGAGAGAGAATGGCATTTTACCATGGACTTCCTTTCAGGAACAGATTTGGAATCCCAGAAGAAGGTGTTAGTATTGGACTCTGCAAACATTGATTTACGGCTTCTTACACCACCATTTCCATCTCCGTCTTGGGAAAGTCTTTTCTCATGATGAGGAGGAGGATGATGATGCATTCGAGTCTGTAAACGAAGCAATGCCTGCATGCATCTGAGCGTCATCTGTGCTTGTTTCCTCACATTCTGCCCTCTTATTACTGCTTGTAGCTTCACTATACCTCTCAGTGCCACCAATGCTCTTCTAGCCTAATAAACAAAAGAAACCCAGAAATGAATTAATTAATTTTCAGAATGAGATGTTATAATTTGATGGGCTTGATGGATTTCTTACCAGATAGCCTCTGAAAGCTTTCTGAATGGTAATGGCTGCAGAGTGTTGTTGTTGCTTTATTGAGGTGGGCGGATTTGAAGCAGAGGAGGGCCGAGTTAGTCGAATGATCTCAACGGCGGCTTGTGCGGTTGCCACGGCGGCTTCAGCTGCGGCTGCGGTGGCTGCTGCCACCGCAATGGCATGCCTGTGGTCCACCGATTCAGCTGCTGAGCTTTTATTAGGCGGCGGTGGCGGTGGTGGAGCAGTTGAAGAAGACTTCCTCAACTTGTTGTTTGACTGATCATTTTTCTGGCTGGCACCATTATTATGGCTTGATGAAGAATGCTTCCTGAATAACCATCTTCTCTTTTCTCTTTTCTGTCCATGCATTCCATTCCACCAAATTAATTAGCAAAAAAAAAAAAAGAAGAAGAAGAAAGAAACAGGGGAAATGGAAAACAGAGGAGGAGATTATGGCAGCATCATAAATGGTTTTTGTTGTGATGATAGAAGCAAGTACCTTTTCATCTTCATCTTGTTCTTGTTCATTGGTGTCTTCTCTGGATTTCCTGCTATTCTTTTTATTAGTCTGAGCAGTAGTAGTAGAAGTATCCTTTGATGGAGACCTGAAGGCTTTTTTCACAGCATTCAGCCATGAACTACCTCCTCCTCCTCCTCCCTTACTCTTTCCCATATTCTTCTTCTATTCTACCTGAGGTGACTACTAAATTGCTAAAAGTGATTTTGATTCATCTAATGGTTTTGAGTAGGGGAAAAGTAAAAGGAAAAAAAAACTATAAAAAGAAGAAGAAGAAGAAGGAAGCAGGCACTTCAGTTTACTACTTTTACTCACTGTATATTGATTGTATGAGACTAATAAGCTTATATTGATATTCTTGACTGATGATGCTCCTCCTGGTGGGTGATGTAAAGGAAGAAGGGGACAAAAGAAGTGACCATTTTGACTGTCCTTATCTGAAAAATAAAAATAAAAACAACTTGTGTACAGCTTTGGTGCTCCAGTTACTATAAAGTATAAACACTAAAGTAGAAAACAATATTTTGGGATACTAACGTTAACAAAATGGGGTAGTTGTACAAAACAACGTCAACAATGCCACAATGGTGATGTTACTGATGGGATGTGGTGAGTACTAAGAAACTATTTAGTCTATTATTATTAATAAGTAGTATAGGAGAATGTGTAAAATAATAACAGTAATAGTGGGGGTGGCAATGTCAGAGACTGCTTGCCATGAATGAATGAACCTTGGCATGTGGTAAAAAAAAAAGGTGGTACTAAAAGACATGCATGAGAATTGAGAAAGCCAGAAAGAAAGAAAGGAAAAAAGAAAAGTGCAGTGATGCCAGCCAGCAGCCCAGGTGGGGTTAGGTTTAATGTAGTGACTGAGAGACTGTGAATTATACATAATGTTATAACCCATGGTTCATTTTCTTGGAGAAAAACGCTATAATGTTAGCATTGTGAAAAGAAACGAGAGTGAGTCATGTGACTTTATTGGCTGCAGTTGTTTTTAATTTCAGTGTGTTTATTTTGATGGATTGGGGAATTGAATGAAATAATTATTGTTAATGTGATATATGGTTGGCTCCACTGGCACTGATGCCCTGGATGGTTTTGACTGCTCCACCCTCTCATGGCTTCACGTGTTTCTGTGCAGCTGCTTCAATTCAATCAAGAACACCATCATAATACACAAGGGACCTAGATCAGGTGACCCCCCCTCCCTCTCTCATTTCCCACCTTTTTTTTTCCCTTTCTCTTTTGGTTGGTTATTTGCATAAACCACCCCTCCATGGTTTTTAAGAGATCATCAATTGTCCTCTTAACTAACCCATTCATCCCGAGATGATTAGAGAAACTGTTCAAATAAAAGTAAAAAATCTTTTAAGTATCCATATAAGTCCACATGTAATTTCACCTTAAAATTAATTTGTAATAAGGGAAGTAACAAGTAAAATGTTTTATTGTTTTTAATGCAGGATAAATATCTTTCACTTATTTTCTGCTTCGAAAGGCATTTTAACAATGTATATTCAAATTTTAACCTTCCACTCGCATCATTACTAATTACCAATGTTCCAATACAAAAAACTACAAATCTTTTTGTAGACATAGTGGGTTCATGAGACAATTAATCGTGTTTAGTTGCTTAGTTTGTAATTCTTGCAAATTTAGGGGTGGTCAGTGTAAGAAAAAAGTCGTTTCCTTTTGGCCATCAAAACTTTGTAAACGCTTTTTGCCCTTTTCACTTTTTCCCATAGATAGATAATATCTTATTCTTGCTGGATGCTCCTAAATTATTAATTATATAGATACGATTCTTTATGTTTAGTAGAGATATTAGTATTATAAAGAGTTAGGATTTGGATAGTATATGGGATGTGTTTAGTGGTCATGTGCATGGTAGACCACGCTAAAGCCAGAGAGAGATCCCTTATCTCAATGCCCTCAAATCCAAAAGCCAATAAGCAAAGAAAGACAGGAAAGAGGATTCCACTCTTTTTGGTAATTGCAACGTTGTAAGTCTGTGTGTGTGTGTGTGTGTGTGTGTAAGAGAGATAGTTATGGCTCCATTTGGAGGGAAATGGGGACTGGTCAAATCTTTGTTTGATTCTCTACCAGTTTTACTTCGTGGTTAAATGTGTTTTTGACTGTAAGGGTTCTTACCCTTTTTAGTTGTAGTGGAACATGAATATTTGTTGTTGAAAATAAACGTGATGATGGCATGCACAACGAGTCGCCTACCCACAAAGCTGTTTCGGATTCATATCCTCATTGGTAAAGGCCAAAAACATGCCTGACTAGTTAGATTAAGGATTAATTTAGGTTAAATCCTATAGCGCCATTGGCTGAATCGTTTGGGTAATGATTCCAAAATTATAAAAGATTGTACATCGATGAAAATTGTGATCTTATAATTTGAATCATTAAATCAATTATTCAATCACGATTTTATAACAATGTACTTTAGAATTAACCGCAAGATACCCATATGTCCCAAAATTAATATCCAGTTCGGATTTTTATTTCAGTTCTATTTATACTAAAACTGAAATTTCAAACCAGACAATAATTTTGGGATGGCTGGAAGTAGTATAAATTACATGCTTGTTTTATCGGAAAAGAAATTATATGTTACTTTCAGGTGGAAAAAGGCAGAAGAAAAAGGAAAGTTTATCACGTAACAAGTAGAAAGTTAATGAAACGGCCGGCCGGGTCTTACCTGTGACTCCCAAGTTTGAAAGGGGCCGAAATAATGAGCCCATTCTATGTGACAATGTCCATGAGTACTATTATTTCCTTATCAACCGGAGACAATATGATGAGCACTCCACTTGGGCTTGGCCTCCCCCAACATCAACAAACTCAATTACCCTTTTGTTTTACTACATCTGTCCTTACAAAAATATCATGAGCGACCAGATTAGTTACTAACACTGTAAACACTCTGCAATATTAAACAAAAGGACTATGAGCAATGAAATTAATCACTACTAATGTAGTGATCTTAATCTTCGAAATAGAGCATCAATGTAAGAAATTTTTTTTAGATATTATACGAATGCACGTTTTGGTTTCTAATGTATTAGGGATAGTCTAATCCAGTCACCAAAAAGTTTTCACTACCAATTTTAGTTCCTAAATATTTTTTTTGCCCGATTTTAGTCTTTTAACAAATTTTTTTGTTGTAATTGACGGAAAATTTAACCCCTCCGTTAAATCTTGAATTTTTTATTCATTTTCTGGTGGATCCCACATTTGTTGAACCTAAAAAAAAATTAAAAATTTCGAAGCCTTAATTAGGGGTTTTATAGCTCCAGCCGCCGCAAAAATTTCAACGCTATGGATTTGGATTTTATTTAGGGGGTCCCACATTTGAGATTTTATTTAAATTAATATTATTAGTTTGTCGATAAATTAATAATTATTAATTTATCAATAAATTAATAATTTTTTAGAATCCTAACAATATTAATTTATAGATGTTTAAGTGTATATATTTCAAAACTCAAATTCTACTATTACTTTTTGGATTTATTGCCAAAAGCTTTCAAACATCTTTTCTTTTTTACATCATAGAAAACTACAATTATCCCCAAATAGCTAAAGTAGACATACATTCTTTACTGTTCGTCCCGAGACTAATACATTTGTGGAAAAAAAATCTGTACAAAATCTTTTAATACTGAAACTCGTGTGACTAAAAAGAAACCTCAAAATCTAGAAAATATTCCCAAAAAAAAAAAAACCTTTAGCGACGCAACTGGGCAAAATAATCTAGACCCTTAATATAATAGTTATAATGATTATAAGTTCCTATCTAATCATTATCAATTGATATTAATAATATTAATCAATCAATCTACTATATTTGAGAAGCAACAATAGTTGTAATTCAAGATTAATTATTATTAGTATATAGTTATCGTAATTTAGTAGAAAATTTGTGTTCTAATGTATGAAACTCTTTTTTTTTCCGGTTAATAAGAAAATAATTTTAGGTTTTATACTTGTGTATCTTGATATTATAAATAATTCAAGCTAGACAAATTTTCATAATCCCTTCGTCCCAAAATTATTGTCTAGTTTGGATTTTCTTTTTTAGTGCAATTTGAACTAAAAATGAGAATGAAAACTGGACAATAATTTTGAGACACAGTGAGTATTTTTTTTAAAATAATAAGTGAGGTCGATTATGAATGGCTATCTGCAATTTAATATTGTGATTATTTAAGTTGATTATAGCCTGTCATCGCATAATTTTTTTTTTAAGTGAATAATTAAGGGAGGGAGGTGCACTCTATTCTTTGGTAGACTATTATTTGTATTATTAATTCATTTATTTCCACCAATAAAGCTGTAATAACAATCAATTATTTTACTTCCATAATGATGAATGATCAGCATTTACATGGTAAATGAATGGAAAAATTATGAGAGATGAATGTTGATGGTAACTAGGAAACTAGTCAGTACGTATATTACCAAAAAATGGAAAAAGCCGGCTCAAGGTATCTTTTGCTGCCTTAAATATCGCAGTTTCCATCTCCAACTGTCAGTCAATTCTTGATTTTTTTTCTTTACTCTGATGGACTATATACCATATGGTGACATTCACTACAATTCACAAGTTTCCTTTTAATTTCTGTCGAAATCACTTTCTGCATTTCAGAGGCAGCGGATTTTTCATTCTTCAAAATTCGCATCTTTTCAGTTTGTTTTCTTAAACCCCTCTTTGAAGTTAACGTTTCTTCACTTTTCTGCTGTTGTGAGTAACCCTTTTATCCAATTACTTCTGGAAATTTTGAACTCACCAAAGTACTAAGTTCGAAGGGTGGGAAACTGCAAGTCAACAGAATAAGATAGAATTCGGATATTCCTCTGGAATCTCCATTAAGAGTAAACGCTTACCTTGATTCTGAACATCCCTTTTCACATTATGATCATTGGTCCATAAATAGACAGAAAGTTTTCAACTTTTCTGGAGCGCTACATTTTGGGTTCGTGGACGGGAGATATGATCAATAGGATGTGTTTTGGTGTTAGTGGAATTATGGAAATTTTGATTCTCTACTCAATGATTTTGTTGCTGGGCGGTAATTCTGCTTCAGCTCATATTGGGATACAGCCATTATCCAAGATTGCTATTCATAAAGCCACTGTTGCTCTCACTAATTCAGCATCCATTAAAGCTTCACCCTTCGTTCTTGGGTTGGAGGTAAATTGCTCTTTCTTTGATAGGCCAAGTGGGATTGTCATGGTTTTCACGATGTCATTGTAATAGTTAGAAAGTGGAACTATGGTTATTTCAACAGGTTATGGCTATTATCCTATTCTCCTAAATTTTCCTCTTGGGGGAAGTTTTGGCTTATTTGTTTTGTTATGAACTTTTTTGATATTGAATTACTGGCAACTAATATAGAATTTCTAGTAATGGAAATGAGGTCATTTGTTTGGTTGGTGTCAACAAGTTTCTTTCTTTGATCACTTTCGTGACCCTAATTTTAATAATCATTATAATAATCAACAGTGATGATGAACTGTTTATATTTTACTCTCAATAAGTATACTGAGTCTTTCGAGACAGAGTCACTAAAGTGAATTCTTTGATGTTTGCTTGAGTGTGAATATGATGTTTTCAGGGTCAGGACGTGGAATGGGTGACTGTTGATCTCGACAATTATGAACCCTCCAATGATGATTGGATTGGAGTGTTTTCTCCAGCGAAATTCAAGTAACGAATTCACCTTTTGATCCTTCTTACATTCAGAGCTGCTAGTTAGTTGGTATTTTTTTTTTTTTTTTTTTTCCCTGAATCAATAGCCTTCTTATAACTTATTTATATTTGGTCCGGCTGATGACTGAAATGGTTTAATCCTCTTTTCAGTGAATCAAATTGTCACGATCCAAGTAACCCAAAAGAACAAGAACCATTTATATGCACCGCACCAATAAAGGTGAAAATGCCTTCTGATTCAATATTACAAAATAAATTACATTAGATATTTCTTTCCTAAAATGTGTAAGACATGGTTTCTTGCAGTATCAATATGCAAACTTCTCGAGTTCAAACTATACAAAGACCGGCAAAACTTCGATCAGGTTCCAGTTAATCAATCAGCGAGCAGATTTCTCCTTTGCATTGTTTGCCGGCGGTTTGTCAAATGTATGTGCATAATTTGGAAAAAATACATAAGTTTGCCCTTAAAACTTTTGGTCTTAACTTGAAATCTGCTTAAAATAGCCCAAATCTGAAAAACAGCATTCAACATGAATGCGTACCTTTTTCTAAGGAAAAAATCCATATCATAGTTCATTTTTAGCTGAGGTACCTGGTATAGTTTAAACCTATGTTGAAATAACTTCTGTTTGATCTGCTACAGCCGAAGCTAATAGCCATTTCAAATCACATTACTTTTGCAAATCCTAAAGCTCCTGTCTACCCCCGCCTTGCTCAGGGAAAGTCTTGGAATGAAGTAAGTACTAAGTACTGAATTTCGCTACTGGGATGCCATTAACATCACATGATTATGGTGTCCTGTATCTTGGTTTGGTTGCTTAATCTCTCAATTCCAATGCTAGTTAACTCAAAATTTGCACATATGACAAATTTGTTCATTCTTTTTGACACTGTCGTACCAAAAACTAAACTCAGAACATCTGATGTCACCTCTTCCCTTTATTAATAATTTCAGATGACAGTCACTTGGACAAGTGGCTATGATATAGATGAAGCCGTTCCATTTGTTAAGTGGGGAATGATGGGTCATGAGAGGAAGCTTTCACCCGCAGGGACGCTTACATTCCAACGGAATAGCATGTGCGGTAAGAAACTAATTCTATTTGCCCTTTCTGGCATCAGTTCTTTGCATGGATGAAAACTGACACCAAATTCCCAGCCCTTGTCACCCCCTTGGTTGGAAATTGGTCATGTATGTTTGGCTGATTTCATAAGAGTTAGTACAGGAGTGATTTGAGATTTAATCTACGAGATGATTTGCAGCATAAAATGACTAGCTTTATTCTTGTTATACATGCAAAGAATTTTTCACCTGTTAATCTGACTGAGAAGTTAAAATTTTCTGAGATTTGTTATTTGACATTATTCCACGTGCAGGTTCACCAGCAAGAACAGTTGGTTGGCGTCATCCTGGTTATATTCACACAAGTTTCTTAAAGGATCTTTGGCCTAACACCAGGTTAGATTTTTCTCAAGCACTGTTTTTCCCATTCCTCTAATGAAAAATACATACATGTATTTATATATAATATGATATTAAACTAATGTATCTCTTAAGTAGTCATCATTATTTTTTTTTCTTTTTTCTCCAGGTATTCTTATAAGATGGGACACATGCTATCCAATGGATCATACGTTTGGAGCAGGAAATACTCATTTAAATCATCCCCTTATCCAGGGCAGGACTCATTGCAGCGTGTCATAATATTTGGAGATATGGGGAAGGTAAAGTAATGGCTTAAGCAATTATATTTTCACAAGGTTCCACAACCAAAATTGTCATTCTGTCGGTCTGTAGTACTTATTTAAAACCTGAAGAATAATACTTTTCTGAAGGGACGGGCATCATTTTACATTTTGAATCATTGATTGACAATGCTCGGGTTTTAGGTCCTCATATGTTGCAAAATATACAATGAACTTGTAGTCTTTTTCAAGGTTGCGCCATCATATTGATTTCATCTAAGATGTCAATATCCAATTTTGCCTGCATCTGACCTCACGCTGTTTCTCACTGAAGATATACTCATTACTTAATGGAAATGTGACAATTAGCTTTGGAATGAAAGTTAAACTCATTTGCACAGGTTTTATATTAGATTTTAAAATCTGTTGCATATGAATAACTGCTTTTCTCTTATCAATTGTTTTGCCTCGAATTTGAAAAGACTAGCTGATTGCGGTTCGTGCATTATGTCTTATCCAGGGGGAGCGGGATGGCTCAAATGAGTACAATAATTATCAGCCAGGTGCACTTTACACGACTGACCAGCTGATTAAGGATCTCGACAACATCGACATAGTTTTCCATATTGGAGACATCACATATGCAAATGGATATATATCACAATGGGACCAATTCACCTCACAGGTTGAGCCCATTGCGTCGACTGTGCCATATATGGTTGCGAGGTTAGATAATTTATTGTCTGTATGTAATGGCATGATCCAAGCATTTATTATGTTTGAATTAACTAATAAAGATGCCTTTTTCCAATTCCTGGAAACAGTGGCAATCACGAGCGCGATTGGCCTGATTCAGGATCATTCTATGGTGGCACAGATTCTGGAGGGGAATGTGGTGTTCCTAACCAGAATATATTCTTTGTTCCAGCTGACAATAGAGAAAAGTTTTGGTAAAATACAAAAATCTTTTCTGCCAACTTGAATTGTTCGTGTTTTACATTAGGATGTCAGTGGATATGTTGTCATACCATTATGTAATGTTTGAATGTAACATCTGTATGCATGCATTGTAGGTACTCAACAGATTATGGAATGTTCCATTTTTGCATAGCAGATACCGAACATGATTGGAGAGAGGGTACCGAACAGTATAGGTTCATTGAGAAATGTCTGGCATCTGTGGACAGGCAAAAGCAACCTTGGCTCATTTTCGCGGCCCATCGAGTCCTTGGCTATTCTTCGGATAAATATTATGGTTTGGCAGGCTCGTTTGAAGAGCCAATGGGAAGGGAAAGCTTGCAGAAGCTTTGGCAGAAGTACCGGGTGGATATTGCATTCTTTGGTCATGTCCACAATTATGAAAGAACTTGTCCTATTTACCAGGTAACATCTTTTTGCTCATTTTTTGCATGAACCGTCGTCTGTAATATTGGAACTTTAGGTGTTCTACTCATGTTGTTGCACCCAAGAAATCCAATTAGAATACCTGCATTTCACATGAGTTGTTTGTTCTGGGGTTTCTTATCTGAGTATGAAATCAGTGGTGAACCCGAATCCTAATGATACACGGAGGCAGCCGCCATATGTCTATTAGAACTTAGAAGTTCCAAATCCCATGGATTTATGGTAAACTATGTTGGCCATGTATCCAGTTAGTCATCATGTTGAGAACATCTGCCACTAAATTGATTAATTTTAATGTTACATTGAAGAGGAAATATCCCAAATAGAAAAGAGCAGTTTCTCTGACTTGTCATGAGAATATTATACAAAGAAAGTAAGCTCATTGTTTATTGGAAAGTCACTAAGGCCTTATGTGAATTTTTGTTTCCTGATTATGCAGAATCATTGTGTGAACTCAGAAAGATCACATTACTCCGGGGTGATGAATGGGACGATCCACGTAGTCGCAGGAGGAGCTGGTGCCCATTTATCCGAGTTCAGCCCTGTTAACACCAGCTGGAGTTTATACAAGGATTATGACTGGGGTTTTGTTAAACTCACTGCGTTCAACCACTCGTCTCTGCTGTTTGAGTACAAGAAAAGTAGGGATGGTAAGGTTTATGATTCTTTCACTATAAAAAGGGATTACAGAGATATATTGGATTGTGTTCATGATAGTTGTGCACCAAGCACCTTAGCTACTTGAGTTGAGCTTATTAATACAGATAGGATGGATAGATAGATAGATCAAGAGTGAGAAGCTTTAAATATAAAGATCATGGCAATTTGTCGAGAAGTTGAGCAAAATTATCTGAGACCTAAGCATAGAGTTCATTTTTAGGGCGGTAAATGTGGAAGTGCTGTTTTCAGAAAAGTTAAATTGAACTGCTCGTTTTTCCAGGGCACAATTTGTCTGATATTTGTAGCATTTTTTGGTCTATTTTGGGACCTTAAATTTGTGGTGTAAAGCCAAAACCAGTTAAAATCCAAATGAAAAACTATATAGTAGTAGCTGAGAAATTATACAACTGAATGAACGAGGGTTTGAGATCGAGACGTTTGACTATGTGGGTTGTGTTCATAATGTTTATCAATGTTATACGAAGTAAAGCCAAAAAACAAACAAAGCAAAAGATAAATTTCTAATGGAAAACATATAATATGCAACCTACCACAATCGTATCCATTATTTACATCTCCCTCAGACAACAAATTTATACGATCTAGTACTAAACCACAACGATCAAGCACATCCAACTTCTAACAATCATCCCTCAGTCCCCCAGTATGTTTTTTGATCTCAAGAAAGCTGCGAACATTCCCGCAGAAATATTCATCTATGTTTCAACCAACCATTTCTTCATCATTAATACCTAACTCACCACCGCCATCTGGTGAACCAATAGATGAAAGAATGTGCTCGATTTTTAATGGTGAATGTCGAACAATGTATTGGAACATTATCTGCAAATCATTGAAATAAGTCAGCCTTCAAACATCAGATACAGTTCAGGCAGGTCAATAAAAGTATGCGAGAAGCTATTGATTACAAAAAGACTAGTGCCTTGTGGAATAGGATAAGATTTTTATCTAAAACCAAATACCAACCTTCGAGTAACTATCTGCAAATGTACGTGCACGATTGGATGGGCCAAGGTAATGCAAATCAGCTCTCTCTAATCTTCCATCAACAAAACATAATCCACCATCATTAACAGCAAAGCGCAGGAGATTTCCAGCGCGAAGTCCTGTCTGTGAACCAAAACATTGTTCATACATGACAGGTACAAAATAAATCACAAAATTGAACCTCCAAATCAATAAATCCAAGTTTGCTTGAGAGGAAGATTTTTAACTTTTAAGTTGAGCTTCAGCATCTTTTGATAGAAATTTAACTTACTCTTCATATGTTAAGGTTATGGACACTAATAGATTCACAAAACATAAGCATACCTTTTGGATAAAATCTCCAGTCAAGCACCCAAAGATGATTGCAGGATCATCAGATGTAGCAAGCCGCCCATCATCTAGTAGCTCCAGTACCAACTGCGGATTCAAGAGAAATTGCAGTATGCACAAGGCAGCTTATCAATGAACTATAAGCACAATTAGCCAACCACACAAACCATTTAAGGATAGTGAGCCATTTGATTCTACTGAACTCAAATCTAATAAGAAGATATGTGACTGAGCAGAAAAAAATCTCAGCACAATAAATTATCAAAACACCAACCAAAAGGAGATTCAAGCGAAAATGACAAGCAAGACATTCTTGCCAGTTGAAAATCTGAACTCAGAATAGAGTTAAGCCATGTCATCATCATATGAAATCAAGCTAGCTAATAATGAATAAAGAATTTATAAACCCCTTAAGTTACAGGTACTATTTAGAAAAGAAGGAATCGAAATTAAACACTTCTTGTCAAATGTTTATGCCGTATATACAAAAGGACAAGGATTACTAATGTTAATAACAAAGTACATGGAACAATAATTTGGTAAAAATGAGAAAATGAATATGCACCTGTTGCTGGTTCGGAATTTCTCCCTTACTATCTGTATCAATCACGTATTGACTACATTTTTCATCCTTCCAAACTAACGCCAATGGAGTATTTCCCAACTGATAATGAGCATGCCTATAAGAAAACCAAGTGATTGAGCAGCATGAAAGACAAATAGAACTCAGAAGTTTAGTAGATGCAATGTGAGATTCATGATCTTGCATGCTACGAAGCACATTCCAATAAACTCAACGAATAGAAAAAGAATTAAACATATATCAAATACGAAACGAAAACAAAAGAATAAACTTACTTGTTGAAAAAGAGTAGACCATCTTTGATGTAAGCTGTCGCTCCAGTATAAGCTGTTTCCAAACCTTGTTGATCACAGTCATAGACAGGAACTGTACTGAATCTAAACTTGTGGTAGGTGGACGGAGCATCACAAGCCCCAACCTCAAGGAGTTTGCTATTCAACCAAAAAAATCGAAACTCGGCAGTACACTCGTATAAGGAGAATCCTGCCCAACAAACCATGTCAATTACATAGTAGGTTTGATCAGGCTGCAAAGTCACATGAAATGCACCATATTAAGTTCAGTCGAAATTATATCCCATTGAAATTCAAAAAGTCAATTAGAAAGGCGTCGGCAAAATACCTCGTGAAATATGCAATCCAGTATTGAATATGATTGAGAAGAACTATTTTTTCGGGAGCCACTGGGAAGTGCTGAAGGAAAACGATGCAAAAGTATCCCATTCCGAAGCCTACTGATTGTAATCCCGTTTGAAGACACCACAAAGCATCGTTTCCCGGCTGGTCTTGCAAACACGTACCTTCAAACAAACAAATTAAAACCTCAAAGTTGAGAACTTTAACCATGAGGAAACTCAAACACGACCAAGCACATCCAAGTACATGCGAATTTTGTCAAATATACAACAAACTCTTTTAAGTACTAGATGCTATCTTCAAAGACAAGTCTTTCACCATTAAAGTTGTGAACATTACACGTTATAGTAGTTATAAAAGAGCACCACTCACAAATGATATATTTTTCACACGACAGTTTTCCAAACTCTTCGAAATAGTGACTGTTGGACAAGCACCCTGGGTACGTACTTACTTGAAAGACAAATTTTCCCACCATGATAAACGATAACTTACACATTATTTTAAGAAGGTTAAGTAAAAGCATCCACGAAGTCTTCAAATTCCAGCAAACCTTTTCATATTAAACAGTTACTTGACCTAAATCATCGATTCCCTTATGTTATAAGGCTCACTAGAAAGCTCCACCAATTCTTCATAAACCAGAAAGGCCTTTAGAATTAAGGAAATCATTCACCTAAATTACCAATAAAGATATCAAAGCTAACAGTACTGACTAACCAATCAGTGGCTAAATTGGGAGGAACATCAATCATCCACTCCGGAAGCATGAGCTGCTTAGCGAACCACCGACGAGCTTCAGCCCCTCTGAGTTTGGAAGCCTGGCGTACGTCATAGATGGTGATGGGGGATTCGTGTTCGGGTTCTGGTTCGGATTCGGGCACATCGAGCTCAATCGGGTCGATTTCATCGGGAAGCTGTTGCTCGCTCTGGAATGAGATAATGGTGGAGGCTAAACGGCGGGCCCTATCCTGAGCGTCACGGCGGCTCTGGGATTGCCGGAGAAGAGAGAGGTCTCTCCGCTTTTGCTGGTCGGAGATAGCCGGGCGTTTGAACGGGCGCCGGAGTTCATGTGGAGCCATCTTTTTTTCTTTTTTGGCTCAAAACCGCCTATGATACTTATTTCTTATTTTCCCACTAAATTATATGCTAATTAATTGGGAAGCTCTATTTGGGCTATTCTTTTTTTTTGGGGGGCCATAGTTTGGCCTATTTAAAAACTTAAAAAGAAGGTCTATTTTTAAAGAGCAATGATATAGATAGTGACTAATTTATCTAGTGCGTTAAAGAGCAATGATATAGATAGTGACTAATCTATCTATATATTAAAGGAGAATTGATTATTGAACACGTGTCGCTCAATTAGGCCTTTAATAGGTTCACTTGACACGTGTCGTTTTATTATTGACTCATCATTAAACCGTAGAAACACATTAGTAAACCGTTAATTTATAAATTACATATTATGAATTTTTATTTAAATATTTTCCCGTCCTTTAACTCACAAGGAAATACAAAGGTGACATAACTGAATCAAATCTCTTTTGAAATTCAAAGTAACTATTATATTTGGAAAATATTTTCACTTTTGGCGATCATCGTTAAATTAATAAATATTGTTAAATGATGAGATTTGTGATAAATATTAATTGATTTGATTAAGCTAGGTTTACCGTCTATTTTGTTGACTCCGACAGCTAATCACTGAAAATTCTAGACCAATCTTTACGTAATAAATACTAAATAAACCAGAGTCTCACATACCTTAAACCATCACACAAACAATTTGTTAAGTTTTCTTTTATTAGTCGGATAGTCCATCATAGGACAACCAAGACTACGAATTCGATTAGAAATGCTTCTTGGAATATGGTTGCGCAAATGTTAAATAGTAATGTCTTGCTATTGATCTTGCAAGTTTGTTGATTTATTTAAAAGTTTCGGCTATGTTTTCTTGTGCCAATGCTTGTTTGTTCTATATTTTGGCCGCCAATATATTGTTGTTGTTGGAATGATTTTTACGGTCTATCTTGATGAATTTTAAACAAAAAGAGAAATGAGGAAAAAAAAACAAACAAATAAACGGTTGTCCTTTTCAGCTGAAATATTAAGCTCTCTGTTTGGTTGTGAAATTAACATGTTTGTTCGGTTTAAAGAATCGATACTATTACTGATTGATTTAATTGATTGATCAATTATGGACACTTCTGACTAGATGATTTGAGAAAACTTATTTATGTGATTCAGTTTGATTAGTTTAATTTTTTGTACTCGCTTCAACTAAGGATTCTAATTATATTAATCCTTTGTGAATTTTATTTTCATGAGTGAGTTTGAATCAATTTGAAGTTCTGAGTAAACATGTATAATAAAATCTTTTCTTGGTGAGAATTCTATGGTGAATATGAATATAAAGAATTAATTACTCTATTTATCGCCTGTTTGTATGCTTTGTGCAGGTTACTTGGGAACATTCCGCAATAAAAGCCCAAGGTTCAGTTTCTTTCTTTTTCTTTTTCTTTTAATTTCTGCCAATCGCTGATTGGAATTTTTCCTAAGATGATACTTGATTGGAATTCCTCCGTCAAAGAATATGTTATCCCGTTAACATTTTTACCTTTGTTATTTAACACGACTTCGCCCCGTCAACAACTTTTCTACATTGGTTCGAGTTATCACCGGGTAGAAGAGAACCAAAATACAGAACTGGGGACTTATTTGTAGCGGTCTTCCAAAATCAATCGAGAAACTATCCACCAAAATCCAAGTTGCTTACGAATATATGAAAATCCCTATACAAGAAGTGTCATCAGTCCGCAAATTCAAGAAGCTTGGCTTCGGTTGATAGAGTCGGCAAGGCAACAACAAAACAACAAGAGCAGTAGAAGTTGGAAGTCGACGATGACAAAGGGGCAGCAAGAACCGAAGCAGCAGCGGTAGCCGCAAATTCAAGAAAGAAGCAGTAGTGGCAAACAATAAGCAGCTACGAACAGCAAACAACAACAATCAATAACAAATAGCAGCAAAGGCAACAAGCAACAGCAGCCGCGACGAGAAAGAAAAGCAGCAACAGGGGAGAGAGTGGACGGAGCAGCGGCAGCGGCGAATCGGCTGAGAAGAAGAAGTTGCATACGTACCCATTCGAGACAACAACACACTTGATCACAAGAGACGGAAGTAGAGAGAAGATCAGAGGGAAGTACAACAGCGGCAACAGGAGGAACAACCGGATGGCAAAGAAAAAGAAACCCAGCCAAGGCTTCAGCCGACGAATAACAGCAGCGGCGGTGATGAAAAATGTTAGCAGCGTATAACAGAAATAAAGCAAGAAGTGGATGTGATGACGACGCTAGTGATGTTGTGCGCCAAGGAAGAAGAAGAAGCAGCGGCGTCCGTGGAATTGAAGACAGAGAAGCAGCAACGACAAGAAAACAATGACAAGAAAAGAAGGTGACCGTGATATTCAAGAAGAAAATCCTAAAAATTTGACGGCCCTGGAAAAAAGAGGCTCGATACCACGAAAGTGTGAAAACCCTTGACAAGTATTGTATTAATATTACGGATATATATATATAATATAATGATATATATACAATTACAATAATGCACTAACCATGTTGCTATCCTAAGTTGATTTCCTCATTGGCCCTTGGCCAAATCAAAATTAAACTGCTGCTATCCCAATTCGATTTCCTCATCGGCCTTTGTAAACTCAAGCAGGTTGTGTTGGCAACTTTTGTGATTAAAAAGAAAATGCTCATATGTGAATTAAGCCTTAATGTCTTCAATTTATTATTCTCTTATTAATTCATCTGTATCATTGATTTGCATAATTTGTTCACTAATTTATTTTCGCTTATATATGAGTGTGTGTGTGTGTGTGTTTTCTTTGGAATAAAAAAATTCATTCACCAGTTTAGTATTTTCGTCACCACTCAAGGAAAAGTATTTTTATGGCCTTTGGTAGGGTTGAGAATTGCTCCAAATACATAGTGTGCCTCCCCAATTTTTTGTTGCCATTTGTGGTCTTTCATAACTTCATTAGGCCATTAAAACGATCTTAAATCATATATTGCTCTGACGGTAGTTTAGTACACCAAGTAATTGTTATTTCAGTCATTAAAGATTTCACTTTTCTGTGAAATACTTGGTGTCTTTTGTATTCTCGACAGTAACAGCTATTTTGGTAGGATTTGTTTGCTTCTCTTTTTGATGCGGAGATAGTTTTTTATTGTGCTTTGCTTAAAGTAAGGGTGTAAAAAGTAGAAATTTACTTTTGTAGACTGAAGGTTTCGATGTGCTTTCTGGCCCTTTTCGAGGCCTCACATTAATTGTAATATATGATCAATCTCCTGGCAACTCATATGACAACTTACGGACCCTTACTAATATTAGAGAGACTTCATTTGCGTTGTGTGAAGTGGTGGCAGTAAGGCAATGACAACTTTTTCTCCAGTAGTCGGCCGATGGAAAGGTAGTCTGTAGGAGAAGCAACAACAAAAGTCTAGCGACCTACTAATTCAGTAGTTTCTTAAGTATGGGATGACCTAATTTCTTTTAATTTTTGCTTTTTTTTTTTGGCTTTTTTATGCTTCCTAAAATCATTATTTTTGTTTGATTATGAATTGGTGTTTTATCAAAAATGATGAAAATCACGCTAAACTTTTTTTTAATGATTGTCGCGTCCTGGAAAATGTATTAGGGCTCAAGTAATTCATAAAGATGATTTCCACTAAATTCCATTTGTCGTAACGCAAATTTACATGAAGCATAAACTTTTATCGGTTAGTTAAAATTTATCTTTCTCCTATATATATATGTAAAAAAGAAAAAGTTATCTTTCTCTTTGAGAAACAAGAGGAGGGACTCATATCTCATAATACTATGGAATAGTTTATTACAAGATGAATTTGAATGTGATAGTTTCAAAAGATTTAATTAAAAATAAATAATTTTAACACAAATATAAACTGTATAATTTTTATGGTTATATAAAATACATGCATGTATAATTTGCTTCAATTATTAAATATCTTTAAATAGTACTTCAAGATGAATAAAAACAGGAGATTTTTTTGGAAAATTCCAACTAGAAATAAAATTTTTTTCACACCAATATAAAATGTATGATTTTTTATGGCTACAAAAAATGTTTGTATGATTTATTTCAGTTATTAAATATGTTCAATTGTACTTCACTAAGCGTGGTCACTTAGAAATTATTTTAGAACAAATATAAAATGTATGATGTTTTATGACTATATAAAATAAATATATTATTTGTTTCAATTACTAATTATGTTTTACAGTATTTCAGTAAACGGGCCACTTAGTAAGGTTTTATTACAAATATAAAAATAAATAATGTTAATACAAATATAAGATGTATGATTTTTATGGTTTCATAAAATGCATGTATGATTTATTTCTATTACTAGATGATTAATAATACTTCAATAAAAGGGGTCAGTTGGGAAGGGTTTATTATAGGATGAATTGGAACATGATGATTTGGAAAGGTTTAACTAAACAATAAATAATTTTAAACAATAGTAGTAGGTCCCCCTCCCCCAGGCTCGCACATGCAGTAGCATAGGTGCTTGTAAGAATTGTATCAAAAAATAATAATAATAATAATAATAATAATAATAATAATAATTTTAAACACTAGTATAAAATATATAATTTTTATAGCTGCATATAATGTATGTATGATCTGTTTCAATTGCTAAGTGGGTGTTTGGATAACCATCGAGAAAAAAAAAATTAATTCATCTATCAAACACGAATATCGATGTAAAATAAATACGACCCATAATATTTTAACTCATATTTTAAAATTTATCTTAAAAAAAAAATTTACACAACTTTTACTCACTACTATCGGACCTCCTCCACCACCACCACCACCAAGCCGCCACCTTCTACCGTCGGTCGTTGCCGCAGTGACACCGACTGATTGTCGGCCGACGGGGGCGAGAGGTTGTCCAGCAGTTGTGAAGGTAGTTAAAAAATGATCATATTTTCACTCAATCTACTTTTTAAATCTCCTCCCAAACTTAAAACAAAAACAAAAATAAAAATAAAAAGTAGTCTAAACAAATCCAAAGTTTAATGTACTTCAATAAACGGGGCCAGTGAAAGATTTATTACAAGGCAAAAGATCTTTTACACCACAATCATATGCCACTTCGTACATCATTTACAAAGATTTTGACACGTGCCTTTGACGGGTTCATCCAAGGGTAGGTTTGGGTGTTAGTAATTTTTTTTTTCGAGAAATCAACACTGCGTGCTTTATGAATATGCCAAAGTATGCACCAAGCAAATATGCTTAATAGTACTTCAGTTAACAGGGTCAGTGTGGAAGGGTTTATTACAAAGATGAATTAAAACGAGATGATTTGGAAGGGTCTAATTAAAACTAAATAATTTTTAACAAATTTATAAATCTATAATTTTTTGGTTTCTTAAAGTGTATGTATGATTTGTTTCAATTACTAGATGCTTAATAGTATTTTAATAAAAGGGGTCACTTGAGAAGATTTTATTACATGATGAATTGGAACATGATGATTTGGAAAATTCTAACTAACAATAATTAATTTTTAACACAAATATAAAACATAATTTTGTTATAAATATATATATATAAGATGCGTGTATGATATTTTAATTACTAAATATTCTCAATAGTAGTTCAATAAACGGGCCATTTCGAAAGGGAATATTACAAGGCAAAATATCTTATGCACCATAATCCTTTACGACTTCCTACATCATTTATCAAGATTTTGACACGCAGCCCAATGGGTTCATCCATGGGTGAGTTAGGGTGTTAGTAAAACTTTTAAAGAATGAAGTAATAATTAAATTTAAAAATATAAAAATAATATATGATCAATAGTGCTTCAATAGACGAGGTCACTTGCGAAAGGTCTAATTAAATATAAAAAACACAACTATCAAATGCATGATTTTTTTTTATGACTATATAAAATACATGTATTATTTGTTTCAATTACTAAATATGCTTTATAGTATTTCAACAAACAAGATCAATTGAGAAGAGTTTTTTACGAGATGAATTAGAACAAGATCATTTTAAAAGGTCACATTAAAAAAATAATGTTTAACACAAATGTAAAATGTATGATTCTTTATGTATATATAAAATGCATGTATTATTTTGTTACAATTACAAGATATGCTTAATAATACTTCTATAACGGGGTCACTTGGGAGTGATTTATCACAAGATAAATTAGAATCGGGTTATTTGGAAAATTTCAACAAAAAAAATATAATTTTTAACAAGAATAAAAAATATATAATATCATTTGTTTCAATTACTGGATATGCTCAATAGTACTTCAATAAGCATGGTCAGTTGGGAAGGGTTTATTACAAGATGAATTGGAACAGGATGATTTGGAAATGTCCAACTAAAAGAATAATGTTTTTACACAAATACAAAATATATGATTTTTATGGCTATAAAAAATAAGTGTATGATTTTGTTTTAATTGTTTAATAATATTTTAAGATATAGGGTCAGTTGGGAAGGGTGTATTACAAGGCAAAAAATCTCATACCCTATAATCATACACCACTTCCTACATCATTTATCAAGATTTTAACACCGGGCCCCAACGGGTTCATCCAAGGGTGAGTTAGGGTGTTAGTAAATTTTTTAAAGGAGGGTATAGTTAATTAAGTAAAAAAATATAAAAATATTATATGATAGATTAGGAAGTGTTGTAGGAAATTCTTAGTCTTTTTTATAAGATTAATGGGAATGAGATCATTTAGAAATGTCTAATTAAAAATAAATAATTTTAACACTAATATAAAATTTATTATTTTCTATGACATATAAAATGCATGTATGATTTGTTCCAGATACTAGATGCTTAATTCGATTTCAATAAAAAAGAGTTATAAGATCTATTAGAAGATGAATTGGAACGGGATAATTTAGAAAGATCTAACTAAAAATATAAATTTTAACACAAATACTAAATACATGATTTTTATGGCTATATTAAATGCGTGTAAGAATTTGTTTTAATTACTTAATAATATTTCAAAAAATAGGATCGGTTATGAAAGGTTTACCACAAGGCAAAAAATTTCCTATATTAAATGCGTGTAAGAATTTATTAATTACTTAATAATATTTCAAAAAACAGAACCGATCCCAACGGGTTTCATCCAAAGGCGGGTTAGAGTGTTAGTAAATTTTTTTAAAGAAAGAAAGAGATAATAAAGTAGAAAAATGTAAAAATATTATATGGTGGGTTAGGAAGTTTTGTAAGAAATTCTTTTTCTTTTTATAAGATGAATGAGAATGAGAATGAAATCATTTAAAAAGACCTAATTAAAAATAAATAATTTTAACACAAATATAAAATTTATTATGTTTTATGACATATAAAATGCATGTGTGATTTGTTTCAATTACTTGAAGCTTAATTCTACTTCAATAAAAAAAAAAGTTACTTGTGAAGGATCTATTACAAGATGAATTAGAACGGGATGATTTTAAAAGTTCCAACGAATGAAATATTTTTAAACACAAATACAAAATATAAGATTTTTATGGCTATATAAAATGTGTGCAAAAATTATTTTTAATTACTCAATAATATTTCAAGAAACATGAGCAGTTGGGAAGGATTTATTACAAAGCAAAAAAATCTCCTACATTATAATCCTACTCCACTTCCTGCATCATTTACCAAGATTTTGACACTAGGCCCCGACGGGTTCATCCAAGGGTGGGTTAGGATGTTAGTAAATTTAAAGAAGGAAAGAGATAATTAAATAGAAAAATACAAAAATATTATATGGTCAATAGTAATTCAATGAACGGGATTAGTTGAGAAGGGTTTATTATAAGATGACTTGGAACGAGATTAATTGAAAAGGTTTAATTAAAAATAAATAACCTTTAACACGAATAACAGATATATGATTTTTATGGCTATATAAAATACATGTATTATTTGTTTCGATTACTAGATATGCTCAATAGCACTTTAATAAATAGGGTTACTTTGGAAGAGTTTGTTACACACTGAATTAAACAAGATACTTTTGGGAAGAGTTTATTACAAGATAAATTAGAATGAGATCATTTTTTAAAATCTAACTAAGAAAAAAATAATTTTTAACACAAATGTAAAATGTATGATTTTTTATGGTTATATATAATGTGTGTATTATTTGTTTCAATTACTTAATATTCTCAATAGTAGTTCAATAAACGGTGTCAGTTGGGAATAATTTTTTACAATGCAAAATATCTCATAAATGATAATCCTACACCACTTTTTTCATAATTTATCAAGATTTTGACACGTAGCCCCAACGGGTTCATTCAAGGTGGGTTATGGTGTTTGTAAAAGTTTTAAAGAAATCAAGTAATAATGAAATAGTAGAAATGTAAAAATATGATATGGTGGTTTAGAAAGTGTTGTAGGATTATGGTGTAGGAAATCCTTAGCATTATTATAAGATAAATTGGAAGGGGATGATTTGAAAATTTCTAATTAAAAATAAATATTTTTAACACAAATATAAAATGTATGATTTTTTATGACTGTAAAAAGTGCATGTATGATTTGTTCAATCACTAGATATATTCAATAGTACTTCTATAAATAGGGTCACTCGGAAAGTGCTTATTAGTTATTACAAGTTGAATTAGAACGAGATCATTTGTTAAGGTCTAGCAAAAAATAAATAATTTTTAACAAAAATTTAATTTTTAACACAATTATAAGTGATGAAACCTTTCAAGTTTTTATAAGCAAATCACAAATTTTTCATTGGTGGTTAGGATTTTTTTTTTTTTTCTATTTTATTCTCAAATCTTACATATATATATATATATTAATGGAAAATGATTTGAAGACACGTGTCACTTAATTCGGCCACTAATAGACTCAAACTAATTTGTGATTAATTTATTAATAACAAAACTTTTTTGGGATTAAACTATTGCACGAATTAAAATTTGTATCTAGGTATATTCTAAATACGGTTGATGTAAAATTTAATGCAAACTCATATAATTAAAAATTATATCTATACCGTGCATGCAATGCACGGGGCTAGTACTAATTATAGTGAAAAAGTATAATGACAAATGAAAAGACAAATACACCATTCTCACTAGATATGTGTATTTATTAATGAAGGGTAAAAATATAATTTTATAGAGAAACATAAAGTTTTAACAGGAAAGTGACAAAAAACTAAGGGCCAAGAATAAACCACATCACTCACTATCTTTTTTCACTATTTTTATTTCACGAGATATATCATTTTCCTATTTGTAAACATGGAATAATCGGAAAAAAAAAATTGATCTTTTTTCACTATTTTTTTTTCCCTAGATGTACCATTTTCCTATTTTTAAACATGGAATAATCGGAAAAAAATTGATCATTGTTTTTTTTTTATTATTAATTTTGAGAAATGATCATTATTGGTAGAGATTTAAGAAATATTTAATTATGATTTTTAAATTACTCAATTGTCCACAAATTACTAAAGAAAAGACCGTCATTGATACTGTACTAGTATTTTCTTTCTTTTCAGGGAAATTTTTTTTTTTTAAAAAAAAAAGAATTGACAAGATTTACGTTGAAAATGGAGATATGTACACATATTCTGGAAAAAAAACTACACTTTATTTCAACTACAATTATCACAAAACGAATTATCAAGATATGTATTAAAACAAACTGGAAATACTAGCAACTCATCCTCATAAATTTTCTCAAAACATGATCCCTGTAAGAAAAGGAATACTACTGCAGTCATTTTAAGATCGAATCCTCAGCAATCAGCTAAGCGTCAAGGGACCAAACTCTAAAATCATTGCACGTTTTCTTATTGTCATTGCGTACAGTTTTGATCTAATTGTGCTCATTTATGACGTAATGGTAACCATTATCACTTCTATCTCTTGCCTATTGTCTGTTTTTAAAGTATTAAAACAACCATTTTCTGATCTCATATTCGTCGTCATTTTTACAAATGTTGTTACATTTTCATCTCAATATTTTCGGTCCAGATTTTGATAAAAAAAAATAAAAATCCCACGCAATCTCTTGCACTTATCAACCGGGGGAAAAGAAGAAAAAAAGAAAAAAGAAAAAAAAGGAAAAAGAAAGGAATCAAAAGTGTGTCATAGAGCGCCAAATCTTGCGGTGCTAACACACACGTATAGTAGTCAAAATATAAGAAAACAAGTACAGCATCTCGTGTCAGTTTACATTTGAAAATTGAATCCTTAAATGCGTCATTATATTTATCGAAATTTGAACTTAGAAGAAGAAGCAGGAGGAGGGAGAGAAAAAGCAAGAAAAGGTTGCTTTCATTCATCGTATCCCAATCCATAAGACAAACACTTCCATTAAATTGCTTTTGAAATCTTGTCCACTTTCTACTTCCGCACTTCACACACACTCACACAATCATCTTTTATACTTATTATACTACTAGTTTCAATTTTCAATTTTCCAATTTCAAATCCCCCACCACCACACCCACAAAAAAAAAAAAGAGAAAGAAGAAGAATATCATCAGATCAGAAAACCAAAGGAAAAAAAATGGGTTGCGTTTCCTCAACTCTGCTCAGCCAAGATGACGAATTCTCCCAGATTGGCGGTAGCGGTGGCGCCGCCTTCGCCCACCACATTGTTTACCTCAAATCCACCACCTACGGCCTCCTCACTCTCGACCCACCACCACCGCCCTCTTCTCCTCCCCCTCCTCCGGCCGCCGCCACCACCACCATTGCTCCCACTCCACCTCCACGATTCACCCTCTCCTCCCCACCTTCCTCAGATCTCACCCCATTGAAACCTCCGCCGGTAAATGACGTCATCAACTCCTGGGAGCTCATGGCCGGACTCGATTCCTCTACTCCTACTCCTCCCCCGCCGCTTTCAAAAGAAAATTCAAATCCAAATCTCCTCCTCCCGTCCCCACCACCGGCATTCAATTGGGCCCACCACCTGTCTTCTTCCCAGCTGGATAAATACGACTCCATCTGCCCGCCAAACGGGGAAAACAAGGTGGTCATCTACACCACCACGTTGAGGGGAATCCGGAAGACGTTCGAAGACTGCAACGCCGTCCGGTCAGCGATTCAGGGACTCGGGTTTTCGGTCTGCGAGAGGGACATTTCCATGGACAGAGGGTTCAGAGAAGAGTTGAGAGAATTATTGAAAGTCAAAGGGGAAAAAGAGCTGGTCCCACCCAGAGTGTTTGTGAAAGGGAGATACGTTGGTGGGGCAGAGGAAGTCCTGAGATTAGCCGAAGAAGACGAAGCTGGCGTCGGTTTGAGGAGTTTGCTTTCGGGTTGTCCGAAATTGAGAGGCGGAATCGGCCGTGTTTGCGAGGGGTGCGGCGGTGTTAGGTTCTTGCCGTGTTTTAAGTGTAACGGCAGCTGTAAAGTGGTGGTTAGGAAACAAGTGGCGGCGGCGAAGGTGGTGGAAGAGGAGGAGGTGGCGGAGGTGGTGGTCCGATGCTCTGAGTGTAATGAGAATGGATTGGTTCTCTGCCCCATTTGTAGCTAGATTTAATTCTACTTTATTTGTAACAATTATGATAGAGGAAAAACTATATATGAACTCTTTCTTTATGAATTAATGTGTATGATAATTATGACTATGTTTATAGTGTGCCTAGCTCTTTTATTGTGAAACTCTTCTCAGTTCTGTTGCACTAACTAGTTTGGTTACTCGACTGATATTAGTTCAGTTTCATAATATCCTCTAGGAATTAGCTGTAGTTCATGTATACTACGGATAGTATCTAGCATAACAAATAATGTCAATTCCATTAAGTACTGATTTTTAATTGGAGATTTTATTGGTATAATAGTACTTTCCATCTTCTAAAATTATTGTCCAGTTTGGATTTTTATTTATAGTGCAAATTGAATTAAAAGTGAAAATTTAAACTAGACAATAATTTTGGGACGCATGGAGTACATACTAATGTTTATTACTCACCCTCCTATTTAGGGATTGTTGTGGTAGGATTTGTAGGCAGCATTAAGTATACCAGGCTTATTAATGAGTGTTTTTAAGGTTTTGGGCTAAAGGTCTGGGCTAGAATGAATGAACAAACAAAGGATCTGTATTTGAAGCGCACGGTATAGATGATGAGTGCGCAGAGGTTCGTGCGGCAAATTTCGCTCATTATCTGCGCCGTTAGCAGCTCAAGAATCAAACAGTTGCATTTGTTAAAAGTTCCTACACAATAAATAAAATTATACTAATTGAAACATTATATTATTATAGAATAGTACGTAATGTGTTTGTAATTTGTATAAGTTTTAGCCCCATTCATCACACTAAAAAAAAAGTTGATGTTTGCAGTTTTTTATTTTTTATTTTTTTAAGTCAGACACCTAAGTCTGGAGGTGCAATTTACTTGGAACATGAATATCTTATAGTAACGCCTTTTGTTTTCTCCTAAATTTCATTTAAATTGTTCTTTTAATTGAAAAAAAATCATAAAAATGTATTTTTCTATTTATTGTGTTTTCTTAATTATTATGAAACATATTCTTTTTATTTCAAATTAGAAAAAAATCAAAATGAATTATAATAAAGGCAGGAAGGAATACAAACACTAATAAAAAAGGCTCAATTCGCGTTCACTAGGTGCCCAATGTTGAGGGCAGCCCTGTTAATTTTGCATCTACATGATTTCTGTATGGCTCCAACTCACTGAGTATAATCCGATTTTTCATGGTCATAGAGAATAGTTAAGAATCAAATTACCGCCTTCGCGGTAATGATTCGATTTCTCAAGATGATTATAGGATGACAGTGGTTTTAAGAATTCTACGAAATTTTTGTGATTCTGACCAAGTCAGAACTGAGAAATAAAAATTCATTGTACTACTACTTTTTATAAGTGAGAAGAGAGGAGGGAGTAAAATATTGTGCTGATGAAGATGAGGAGTAAAAGGCCGACTTTGTGTACTTGCAATATTTTGTGTCTATAGCTAGGTCGTAACCAACCGGATGTCCATGATATGTGTATTTCCGCCCACGAATGCCGAAATCTTTGATGCTTGCCGTTGTTTGGTGGTTTTTACCGAACCTAGCAAAACTTGCAAACTGTTTACGAGAAAAAAGACAAAAAGGAGGAGGGAGGATTTTAGCTCAAATGTCATTGATTCTTTTCTTCTTTTTTTTTTCTTGTTAACAAAAAATACTCCCTTTTCACTTTTAATACAATTTTAATAATAAATGAAAATTCAAACTGGATAATAATTATGAGTTGCGTAACAGAGAGGTGTAATTAACTTCCCGGCAGAAAATGAAATTTCAGTATTTCACCACGACTCTGTCCACACGTAACAAGATTTCTCTCTCAACATATGGATAAAAGGCCAACCAAACCATTCTTCATCACAAATAAAACCATAAATTACTTTTTTTTCTCCCAAAAAAAAAAAAAAAGACACAGTCGGTGAATGACTTCATTGATCGGGGGGTGGGGGGCTTTCTAGAGTTGAGTAGTTGACTTCTCCCCTTAAAAATTGTAAAATCAACCCTCCAATCACAGCATAACACACCAACAACATTATCCTCTGATGACGTGCAACCCCAGATGCAAGAACGACGACGGCGGTGGCGTTGATCATTGGAGGAGTCCGACGACGGAGATGAAGGTGATGATAGCTTGCTAAGCAGGCGCGCGAATCCTCGGGTACTGTATTAATTACTATTCACATTTTATATTGCGACAATTTTATCTATACTACGATTACATTCGCTTAATTAGGTTATGGGTATCAATATTCGCATGGATGATTAAAGAAAGGCCGTCTAGCTAGTTTATTGATTTCAAAATTCTCTTGGTGAAATATTATCAATCAATCCTGGATTCTCTGGTTTAACGGTCTTATCAAACTCAAACTGAAATTTATCTTCTTAATTAACTTGTATAATTCGTTTGCTTATTTAGAATTATAGTTTATGGGACCCATTACCCATTCCTACTGTTCTTGATTTCATTCAATTTTTTTTTTTAATATTACTGATACTGAATACACTAATGAAAAGCTTTTGTATCTTTGTACTATCTGTCCTTGGCCTTTTCGTTCTCTTCTACTATAAATTTATGAATAAACAAAGACACAAAGTGCAGTTGCAAGGTATTTTGTCTCATTCATCCATGAAATCAGCCACGATTTGGACCCTGCAGTTTTTTTTCAACATCTTTGACATTCATTTAACTTGCATTGTTGTTGCAGACCTACAAACTTGGGACAATGTCCACCATTGACCGTGAGAATTTCATCACCAACTCCGAAAATAAGCAAAATGGATCATTCCATCTAGTAAACCATTCCAGGGGCAGTGGCAGTTCATCTCTCAGAAGGCAATCAGTAGGTTGTTTTGCCGATCAAATAGATGATGATGATGATGATGCAGAATCTGCATCAGTTTCTGAGGCCGGAGACATTGGTGACCGTTCCTTCCGGAGCAGCAGAAAATCTTGGAGCGGCAGAATCCTCTCCATTGATAAATTGGTGGAAAGCAGTACAGTGATTCCAATATCCGACGATGCTTCTCAAGGCGCCGTGAGCTTAAATGATGCAACAGTGCCTCCCTTGAGCTTAACTCAATCTGTTGCATCCCGAAATGAAAATATCCAACCAAAGGATAACAAAGTAACCCTCTCTTCTAACTTACTTTTTAGGTTATGGGCAAGCATTGGCCGTAAGAAATAAGTTGTCCTGAACTTATGATGACTAGATACAACATGGAGCTAGTGTTTTAACTTTTTTACTTACCTGATTTATGCAGGCAAATAGGGAAGCAGAAGATATATGGATTCTAGAGTACATTTCATGCCTAATGGTTCTCGGGTTATTTGGAATTCTTGGGGTAATAAGTGTAGTGTATCTTGGTACCATCATTAGACCTTTAATTGTGCAGAGGTTTTTTAATATTTTAAAGCTTGTTGTCATGCTGCTTGATACAAGCTTAGAAGAACTTGTATCATTAAGATTTCCATTCATGATAAAATTCAAAAAGAAGTTTTTCTGAAGGTGCATGTGTGATATGGTTGAAGCCTTAGTGTTTGGGGTTCTGAAAATTTTTTGAGGATTTTTCATGACTTGCGTCATATCATTTTGGTTCCAAAAGGAATTACTTGTGTGATTGCTTATTTCTTCTATGTTCAACTCCCTGTTGATTTGTCATTTTTTCAGGTGATCACGAGGTACTATCTTCAGAAACTTTTTGGACCTGGAGTGATTGGCGCTACAAGTGTTCATTCTTATATGTATCCTGATCTTGCCTCTAACATGGTATTCATATCTCTCCTTATCGGCCTTGACGTTTTGCATTCTTCCTGTTGTATGCATTTCTGTCAAGTTTCCTTAGGATTGCTGGACCTAAGACAATCTGTTATTTATCATATTGTCCTGCTGGTTGAGATCAAATTACAATGTTACAAACAGAGTCAATTGAGGTTTGAAATCTTGTTAGGATTTGTAAACAGGATAACCTCATATGTTGATATTCTTGTTGAAAGACGTGATTCTTGAAAATTTGAAAGGGTTAATTCACATAAATTGGGTCAGCAGAGGGCAAAGTGCAGATCAATGATGGGCAGGCGAACAATTTATCTAATCATTAGTGGTATGGTTAGTTTGTGCGAGAGTTACATACTATGAGTCTTAGTAGTATCTTATTACTAAGCAGAGGGGAAAAAAATACTCGTTGAATTTGCGGTGAGGAAGTAAATGCCATTCTTAACAACTTTAGGGAAAAGGATGATATATTGCAATCTCGGATGAGTGAGCGACCTAGAAAATTTGCTTCTTGTCCTATGGTAGCACTTCATCATCTGCATCTTTGAAGCAGTAATAAAAGCATTGTACCTTCAAAACTTGTTTGCTCTGCTCTGGCTTTTTCAAAAATATCCCTTTGTATGACAAAGGACGCTTTTCATCAAAATCTCCAGGTTGGTTCCTTTTTGATGGGTTGGTTAGGCGTGGTTTTCAAAGGAAAGATATCCAAGTTTTCAAACACTTTGGCTATTGGCTTGACAACTGGTTATCTTGGAAGCCTTACCACGTTTAGTGGCTGGAACCAGAGCTTGCTGGAACTCAGCAGCGTTGAAGGCCGATGGGTTTTTGCAATACTCAGCATTGTCGTAGGTATATCAGCTTCTTCAGATGTAAAGTAAATCAATTCAAAAAAATAAAGCATTGGAGATTGCATTTCTATTAATCTTTTGTACTTTGTGATCCTATGAAGGCCTGCCTCTCAACATGATCTCAATCATTGTGGGGATTGACACTGCCAAAATTTTCCAATTGCTGATGAGAAAGAAGTGGGGTAAAAAGCTAAAGTTTTTGAACCCAAATTGCAGTTGGAATGTGGAGGGTTACCCTAAATCTTTGTTAGCTACATTGGTGCTGCTCTTCCTATTTATTATGGTTTGGTTTATATGTATAACTTTTGAGATCAAGAAGTTCAGAAGTTCAACTCGTGATGCTCAGCTTTTGTTGGCTTTCATTGTTGGACCTTTAGGCGTGTGGATTCGCTGGTTCCTAGCTCGTTTGAATGGACGTGGCTTGGGTAAAAAATCTAGATTAAAATGGATTCCATTCGGGACTCTTGTGGCAAATATTCTTGCTTCTTCATTAATGGCTGCTCTTGCACTACTTAAGAAAATGGTACGATTCTTTTGTTGCTTCCGTCATCTTGATTTCCATTTCCAGTTAGTTGCTACCTTAGATATACAAGTATTTTGCTACACTGTTAATCACCAATGTCACATTACTTCCACACGTCGTCTCAATTTTAGATGGCATTGTGTGTCTTACGATCTGTGTTTCACTTATGCTGTTATACGCCAAAGTAAAACTGCCATTTTCACAATATTTCCTAGTGGGTGATTATTTACATGTAGTACTGTTGCAAGTGTTGTGAAAACTTTTTAGTAGGGAGGTTACAATACACAAGTCCGCACAAAGATGTGAAACTATACATACAATCTAGTTTGAAACAGGTCTGACCTTTTTAAGTTTTTTAAGGTATATGTCTCCTCTTTAAGCTATTAAACCTGACATCTTCCTCCTCAATTGCTGATACTTCGATCAATCTGGACGATGCTGATTCAGGGAGAAAATGATGCATGCATTGTAGTAGCAACAGGAATACAACTAGGATTTTGCGGTTGTCTAAGTACAGTTTCAACTTTTATTGCTGAGTTTGAAGCAATGAGACAGAGCAGTCACCATTGGAGGGCATATGTTTATGGTTTGGGTACTATACTTATCTCCTTTGCCCTGGGAACCCTTATTTACTCAACACCTGTTTGGATCAAGGGCTATAAATAGATTTCCCTGGCGGCTACTTCCAAAAGTCATTTCAACTTCAAGTACCAAGGTTTGGATTCTTTGATGTTTGCCTTGGATATTTGCATCCTCAAGTAGGTTAATAGAGAAGAAAAATTGCTGAGTTGATGGACCTTCCAGCTGCTTGAGAAATACGGTACATTTTCTTGGAAGATTTCGTCGGCCATTTTGGAGTTGTCATCTATCTTTTGTATATATAATTCTACAGTTAACGTGGCTAAAAGAAGATTTATCTATATATTTTGCATTTTGGGGGGAAACAGAAATGGTTTAATGTTCTGTGTAGTGTATGTTGTAAACTTTGTAATGGTTGGTAGAGTAAGATTGACAGAATCAATGATTATTATTCTCGAGTTAATGTGACAGAATCAAATTCACTCTTAATTATTGTGGATTCTAGTCAAGTAATCCCTCCGTCCCATAATTATTGTACAGTTTGAGTTTTCATTTTTAGTTCAAATTGTACTAAAAGTGAAATATTAAATTGGACAATAATTTTGGGACAGAAGGAGTAAATTTTTTCATTATGTTTCCACCAAAGAGAAACAACAATAACATTCAAAAAGTTACCACATTTTTTCCTCCGCGTGTTATTTATCGGACATTTTCCTCTTTTTTATTTATTACCAGAAATAAACCCATTCCATTGCGATATATTTATATTACGTAGTGCTATCTTTTTCCCTGCGAAAAGTGTTTCCAAATAAACACAATTAATTAGTCAGCTTATTCCAATAGCAAGGATACAAAACACACGAAGACCACAAAGGATCAGTTCTGTTCTTTTGACCACAAAGGATCAGTTCTGTTCTTTTGACTATTAGGAATGCCGTGAAACCGTGAAAGTGAAACTAATGAAATTCAATTCCACGGAAAAAAAAAAACAAAAAAAGAACTAATGAAATTCTTCAGGTGGGGGCGACAATGATTTTATTTTTTCTTTATTTCTTTAGACTGTGTCATTTTCATTGGGAAAAGGGAAAAATCAGGTCAACCAACGTGAAATTAGTAAAATCAACGAGCCCTTAAATCATGTACAATTAGTACAAGACAAATGGATGTAAATTAAATTTTTGAAATAAAACTAAATTATTATGTTAATTACGGGACAAGTGGATGTAAATTAGCTATTGGCCTATCAAAATATTTAAATGCCACCGCCCTCCTCCTAGCTACCTCCATTTGTTTCCCCACAAAAATTTAAATTAAATGGCACATGTCTTTTTTCGACTTTGCCTTTTCGACCTACCAAAATAATGTGTATAAGAGGATGTGCCAAATTTTATAGAACTTCGATGAATAAGTAAGATTAGAAAGAAGAAAAAAACAACAATTATTTAAAAGAGCAATAATAGAAATAATGACAAATTATAGTGAAATGGAATAGTGACTAACGAAAATACAAATACATCATTTTCGCTAAATATGTGTACTTATTAATTAAGAGTAAAAATATAATTTTTCAGGAAACAATAAAATTTTAACTGAAAAGTAACAAAAAACTAGAAGTTAAAAATACTCCACATCACTCACTATCTTTTTTTCACTTTTTTTTTTACTATACATATCATTTTCTTATTTAAAAATAACAGGGAAAAGAATTTTTCTTGGTTTCTTTTATAATTATTATCACATATGTAGGCTGCAGGTAGGCAAATTTGATGGTTCTCCACAAAATTAAGTGCATGTCTACATTTTTTGGGTATTGAAGCATGATGAAGCCAGTACTTGTTAAGAGAGATCAACATATATTTACGGAACTAATTGATCTTACACCTACAATTGATTTGCTTCTTGATATTTCTTCTTCTTGTTATAATATTTTTTTTGGTTTATTTTGTGAAGATAATGTTTCAATTGTCAGAAGGGTCAACTCTTGCATTGCATCTGTAGTTGGTTATTTGGCTTGTGCTATATTTTCTAAACAAAAACCATCATAGAGATGGTCATCTGATGGTGGCAGTTGTTTTCTCCGAGAACGATTGATCTGTGAGTAAACTTTAATTTAGTCTTCAGATTCCTTGTCAATTCAATTTTATTTGTCCTTAAGTTATTATTGGTGGCTCAGCTATATATAATACACTTGAAGAATGGCAAATCAAATAATTTACGTGCCAGAAGAGCTATTATTCGTTTTGATTTGGTGATGGAGGGAACTTGTTTGGTATTACTTTTTTAGGGGTTTCAACCAAATGTTAACTTATCCTCGAGCCAACAATATATTACTCCCTTCATTTTAATTTGTAGGTCGTTTTAGGTTTGGAGTGATTTTTTAAAATATAGGTCGTTTTACAAATTGTAGTCAAATTAATGACTATTTTTCTAATTTTATCCTCAATAAATAATGCCAATATGTTTTCACATAGTCTTGTTTATAGTTCCAATGTAATTAATGAAGAGTAAAACAGATATTTAATACATAAATTAATTGTTAGATGATTGTCTCCTTAGTATACGTGCCAAGCCTAAAATGACTTATATTTTGAAATGGAAGAAGTAACAATTAGGCAATATTTATTAGCAAAAAATGCGAGGCTATAATTAATGTTATTATCTCCGTTTATTTAAAAAAAAGTACTCGCATTTTAAACTTTATGAACGTACATAATTGTTGTATAAACCTTGTACGCCACAGAAATTAGAATTGAACAGCCATCATGACGCATTTTTTAATTGATATGTGGGAGCAAGGGCTTCATCTTGAATTACTTATGAATTCAACAATTAGTGTTTGTCAAACGTTCCTTTCAGACTTTTTTATTAGTTTTCTTGACTTCCGCAAATACAATAAATTGTTTTACATCATTGTCTTTTTTTATTACTACATATTATTTAATAAATATAAGCCGTTTTATTACTTTTCAGACTATCTTAGTTTATGTACCATCAGCGTACTAGAATTATCCGACGCGCAAAGATTGTTTATATCAATTTGGTTTGTCTTAATTTGGTTAGTTTTTGTTTGCTTGTAAGTCATTCTGTTACATTGTAACAACCATTAACGCGGATAATATTGCTTTGAACAATTTATATTAGAGATGAGATTCGGTGATGCATCAATGCATGCTGCTGTCTACTTGTCTTGATCCACCTTTATCTTTTGTCATTATATTTATTTTGGTTCACTTTCCTCTCGTTTAATAGTTAACATTATTATTATTTAATTTTTTAGAGTGAATTATTAAAATGAAATGGAAAAAAGAATGTGAGGTTTAGTGATCATCAGATTCATATGATGAAAATTCTAGACATTCAAACATGGTTATTATTGGACACATTACGTAAGTCTATGTATTTTGGCAAATTCTTCATTTTGCACAACTAATCTATTTTAAAAGCTGCTGTGCATTCCGAAATATATAAAGTGATTACAGCAAGAAAAAATATTTGTTTTCACTGTTACTTTTGCTTCTTTTTCCTTTTTTTCTCATAATAATATTACTGATATGAACTCAACTTTAGAAGTCAAAAGTCCAAAAGCAGCCAATACATTATTCGACTTGACAATCCCCACCTGGGAATGAAATGGAAATCGCCAAGAACAATAAACGTTACAGTCCACGGTCCATCATAAAGAATCCTCTCCTCCAGAGGAAACTAAAGTCCCTTAAATTGAAAATAACTAGTATTGATAATCTTTGGTACTCCTTCTGTTTTACAATTATTGTTTAATTTTAATTTTTACTTTTAGTTCAATTTGTTTTAAAAAAATAAAAATCCAAACTGGGACAGATAAAGTATTTAATAAATTGTCTTATAACCACTTTCAATTGGAAAATCAATGCCTCAATTGTCATACACATTTTCTTAAATTGATTTCTCCCTCTTTGCACAAGTTAGAAAAGAGGTCAAATCTAGAATCAGTTAACAGTAAAAATGTCGCAACCACATAAAACCTGGTTTAAGACCATCAAAGATTTCCAACTATAGTATTAATTACTACAAACCGTGAATAAATAATTGTGGCGAAATTCAACTCTTTATGAAGATTTTTCATCTGCTTAAACATTTGGAACAAAATGTTGTTGTATAATACCGTCATATCATTTGGAGCTTTGAACATCCTCAACCATCAGCAAATTACTCGTGATATATCAAATTGCTCCTTTAAAGATTGTTTGAAAAGCTACAAAATTTTCAGAGTTCGAAATCTGTTTTATCATTAGACCAACACTTCATTCTCAAAAACTAAAAATTTAAGTAACTATAAAGCTTACCAGATGGAATTATAGGCCCATTGTTAAGAACAAATATAAAAAATTCATTTTATACAGTACTGTCTTAATTTAACAAAATAAAATATTTTTTGTGAGACAAATGAAAAATTAAACTTTGGGATAGCCAACGAAAAGCTCATGACTTATACATAATTTGGCTTTGACACATGTCAGTTAGTAAAACTTGCATTTTTACATTATATATCTGTTGGGAAAAGTTTGATCACTACCAATTAGCAAAGAATACTACAATAACCACTGCCCAAAGTAACTTCGATCTTGTCATATATAAACACTCTAATTCATTTTGCTTTTATCTGGGGGAGGGAACTATTCTTTTCTTGGAAGGAAAAATAAATTTATTTTATGTATGTTGGAAATCGTCCAACTGCATATGAGAAAAAATGAATAATTGTCCAGTTACGGATTTTATGTATTTTTGTTGGGGGAGGGGACTATTCTTCGTTAGCGATTAACTAGTGAATAGCATAATCATAGAAAACAATGAATAATTAAATTTTAAAGTAAAAAAGGGGTCCATGTCGGGGGAGCAAAGAAATTAAATTGACCGGGCCATCCAGTTTTGACGAGCTCGCTCACTATTTAATCCCCCCAATTAATCTTGAAGAAGATCACCGCCATATAACACAACTGCACAAAAAGCCACTATACATTTTAAAGCTATCTCATCATCTGAAAAATCAATCTTCCAGTCAGAGAGGCATAAGTTAATTATCATCTCGGAATAGATGGACAACAGCAGCAGCAACGGCCACGTGAACGGCGATCACAGGTGGAGTGAGACGGCGGGGAAGGTGATAACATGCAAAGCCGCGGTGGCGCCCGGTCCGGGACAACCCATAGTGGTGGAGGAAATCCTGGTGGATCCACCCAAGTCAATGGAGGTCCGGATCAAGATTCTCTACACTTCCATTTGCCACACCGATCTCAGCGCTTGGCTCGGCGAGGTATATATATAAATTATGAAAAAAAAAATTCCATCCTCCATGTATAAATATTAGTCAACTAATTTACATAAATTCAATTTTTTCTTGAAGATGATGATTTGTGATGTTTTATTAATGGGGGGTATTTTATTTTGTTTGTTTTTGGCTTATGAAAAGAACCCAGCCCAGAGCATTTATCCTCGAGTTCTGGGACACGAAGCCGTCGGGTAAGTGTACCTCTTAATTTAGTTACTACTTCCGGTCACGTTTTTTACGTTGGACTAGTTTCTAGTTGAGTTCCAGGCTTCATGGTTATGTTGTGGTTAGAATATTTAAGGTAGGTTTAATTTATTTTTTTTTACTGTTTTTAATAATCATTTGAATTTCGTGTTGAAAGTTTTAATCACCTAGACTTTATATGGACGTAAATGGTCCTTGGGATAGTGATTTTGGTTTCCTTTTCCAAGGGTTTGATTTATGAAATGAAATTAAGTTAATTTCCACGGTTGACTCTTCTAGATATTTCATACTCCATTTCACTTTCTGGATTTATTCCTCCATGGATGAGAAATGATTAATACGTATGTACTACAAGAGAAATTAAAAAGACTTTATTTTAGTAGTATTGATTTTTTATTTTTTTTATTTTTTTTTCTCTCACTCTTTCTTGATTGGTTTGGTCAAATGAAATAATTGAAGAGTGGTAGAGAGCGTTGGAGAAGGGGTGACGGACTTGTCACCGGGAGACCACGTGGTTCCGATATTCAACGGAGAATGCGGGGATTGCGCTTACTGCGATTCCGACAAGACCAACTTGTGCGGGAAGTACCGCGTGAATCCGTTCAAGTTCGTCATGTCCGGCGACGGCGCCACCCGGTTCCACACCAAAGACGGCAACCAACCCATCTACCATTTCCTTAACACCTCCACCTTCAGTGAGTACACCGTCATGGATTCCGGTTGCGCCGTCAAGATCCCTCCCGGCGCTCCCCTCAAGCAAATGACCTTGCTCAGCTGCGGCGTTTCCACAGGTATATTATTATTAACTAAATGTAATGATTAAAGATTAAGTAATTTACTCTGCCAGAATTTTTTTTTGATCCAATCGAAATGGCATTATACATTAGTTTTCTTTTGTTCCCAGCATTGTTGATTAATTGAATGCGAACAAGTTGAAAGATACTGCTATTTGTTTTTTTTTTTTTTCTTTTTCCAAACAATTTGAGAGTTTATTTGTTGGCATGAACCGAAAAGGCTACTGATTATTATTCGGTTCCTAGACTCCTAGTGCTCTCAATCCAACATGCAAATGTCTCATTATTATACTATTACATCTGTCCTATAATATACTATTTATAACTCCAATTTGGTGCATTGTAAATAATGCTGGACCAAGTGGTTATTTATCAGTTAGTATAAAATTTAATTTAATGGTGAAGGTCTTGGAGCCGTGTGGAATACGGCTAACGTACAAGCTGGTGCAACTGTGGCAGTGTTTGGCCTAGGTGCCGTGGGTCTCGCTGTAAGTAATCTTGTTTTTATTCTTTTCCTTAAATAACGTTTGGAAATATGGATTTTTTTTTTCTTTTGTGTTTGCCTGAAAATGGAAGTTTATAACCGTGCTATTGTTTTTTAACTTTTTAATCCCACCCCCGATTAAAATATGTAGTTGAATAATTTTTTTTTTCAGTATAGGCTTCTGATCATGACAGCACGTAATAAGACAGTTGAATTTGATGGCTAGGTATGGACCGTAAATGGGCTCTCAAGAAAACTGATACGTTGCCATATATTGTTTTTCTTAGCCGACAAATTAATACAATAGATCCATGTCATGTGATATTAAATGAAAAATTTGGCAGAAGTTGAACAAAATGATAATATTCATTATTGGCAACCCAATTTTTTTTTGTAGACAACCCTAGAACCCCAAAGATTATCTTAATACATTCATCGATCCAGGACAACCAGCTGGTTAATTTTGGCTCATTACTGATGTATTATTATTATTATTATTTTGGTCGATCTCAATTTTTTAATAACTGTTTCATTTGGAATTAGTACATTATATGTCTGCAATTAAAAAAAAACAACTAAATTTAGCGACCTAATGCATGTAATGTAGACAGTAGAAGGCCTTATCTGTATGTGTGGTTTAAGGATTAGCAGTTATTCTAATTGTGCTCCAAAGTCATCGATTGGGTCGCTATCTCAAATGTCAAACGTTTTTCTCCTTAATTTATGCTTGATGTGTGATGAAGCATCAGTTGACAAATGAGAAGGAATCTCAATTTTAATTTTATACGGAGGAATTTTTTAGTTTGTATTGCGACCCTTTTTATTTTGGTAAATTTACATACTACTACATACATACATACATATATATATATATATATATATATATATATATCTTAACGTGCACAGATATCTAAAAGTCAACTTAACACAACATCTTCTTTGAAGCAATTAATACCTTGTTGTGACGTTCAAACTCTAGTCGATTATAATTATAGTTGTCTTATCATATACGGGCTCCAAGCACGTTAGTAAAACTGATTTAATTGATCTACACAAATTTGGTACTGCCTTGAATATATTTACCTTCGTATTTATAATGTGACGTTTTGTTATTAAATTGCACAGGCTGTAGAAGGAGCAAGGGCTCGTGGGGCATCTAGAATCATCGGGGTGGATGTTAATCCCCAGAAAAGTATCAAAGGTAAAATTCCTTGTTCATTGATCTTTTCATATAGCTTTTCTCTTCTTGTAGCCTTTGCTAAAACGAATTAGTATAAGAAAAAAGAACTGAAACCAATACTTCACGAATTAGGGAGAAAACGGGGAACCCTAATGGTAGCGGATCTTGGTTTCTTGTAATAATCCAATAAACTAGAAGCTAAGTGGTATAATTTAATTATTAATTAGTTAGCAGTAGCACTAACATCACAAATTTATTAGAAAACTAATTAAAATATAAAAGAACTGAACTGATAAAAAGACTGTACGTATGAGAGGGTAACACGGTTTCATTTTTAATTTTTCTTTTGCTTCACACGTCAAAAACTAGGGAGAACTGATGAAGTACCACGTTATTGAACAGCGTCCCATTATTGATGTTTCTCTGTCCTGGAGTAAAACAGATGTCAAACAAAAAGTCAAAAACAAATCAGTGTTTTATTCTCAACGAAAAAATAAAGAAAGAAAGAAAGAGAACAGATCACATTATAAGTTTTAGGACAACATGAGTTGCACCGAATGAGATAAATCCAAACTTGATAATTGTCAAAATTATAAATTACAAGTAATTACATTATTATTAATTATAGAACATAATTGCCGGCTATATACTAGCTAGTGTTTCTCAACCAGTTTATTCTAGGCTTCTAGACTCTTGCAATAGTTAATAGTATACAAATGAAACTGATCCATCCATCAGCATCATCTAGTCAAACCGAAGACGTTAAGAATGAAAAGGACATAGATCAAATGAATGTGCTTTGTTTTTTTTCTTTTTGGTTCAAGAAAATTAACAATCAACTCACAACACTTGCTGATTCAATTATTAAGGGTCTCTAATTGGCTAATTAAGTAAAGGTCATTTTTCTAAACAAGAAAAAACAAGGCCTAATAATGTTGAAATTTAACTAGGTCCATTAAGTATTTAATTTGCTCAATACGAAATGCCCTTGTATGTTGTTTTCATGCAATTAATTCTCCATAAATTATCGTATAAAAGTATAAACCTTTTTTTGTTGTTGGGTTTTGCGTAAAAAATAAAAATAAAAATAAAATTGTTACAGGTAAAGCGATTGGAATTACAGACTTCATAAACCCTAAAGATCACAAGAAGCCAGTACATGAGGTTAGTTTATATTTTCCATTCGTTATTAATCTAGATTCATAAGATAGAAGAAAATAAAATATCATTAATTTTTTTTTTTGGGTACAGGCATAATAATGTATTAATGCCTGACCAAAATTAATTCAGTTGCGATTAGCTTGACTAGAATTAGATATAAACAAATGGCACAGGTGATAAGGGAGATGACGGGAGGTGGTGTTGATTATAGTTTCGAGTGTGCTGGCAACGTTGACGTTCTTCGGGAGGCTTTCCTCTCAACCCATGACGTGAGTTCAATTAATTAACTAATTATTTAATTTTTTGCATATTTGAACTATATCTCTCTTTTAACGTATATAACAAAGAAAATATATTTCGAAAATAATAAAATTACTATTATATTTGGTTACACGCAGGGATGGGGTTTCACGGTGGTGCTAGGGATTCATCCCAGTCCAAGAATGATGCCACTGCATCCAATGGAATTATTCGATGGCAGAAGAATTGTGGGTTGTGTCTTCGGTGACTTCAAAGGCAAATCTCAACTTCCTGCTTTTGCCAAAAAATGCGTGGCCGGGGTTAGTTCACTCGTCCCTTTCATATTTATCTTTCCGTCTCATTTTAATAATCTATTTTTAGTTTAACAAAAGAAATTAATAAAATAATTTCACAAAAAAAAAATAATAAAATGATGAGAAAACGGATGACTTTTTTTTTTTTTTTTTGCCTCAATAAAAGAGAGTATAAATGGTTCTGATACTGATTAGTTTTTTGTAAATAAAATTGGATCAGGAGGTGAAGTTGGATGAGTTCATTACACATGAGCTGCCCTTTGAGAAGATTAACGAAGCATTCCAACTCCTTGTGGACGGCAAATCTTTAAGATGCCTTCTTCAACTTTAATTGATTGATTTGGCTTCTTGTTTTTTTCCTCCCCTCTTTTTTCTTTTTTCTTTTCTTTTTTCTTTCTTTCTTTTTTTTTTTGTGTGTGTTGTTGTTGCTATATACTACTTCTTGTGCTCTTCGATCGAGCTATATATGAAGGTGTGGGTTCAAGTTCACAGTTCACACAAAATGGCAAGCACCTGCTTTTTTGGTGTTTAATGCATTGTGGGATTGGATTGTTTATGTTTTCCGATGTACATTTAACGTAATAAAATTTTAGTGCTTAAATTTGTACAAATATCCTGCTCAAGATCAAACAATTTCAAATGTCAAGTTAACAGAACTTTTTAGTGCAATGTTGCATTAACTCGTGACGGTGTGATACCTGCTCCGTACATAATGTAAACATGAGTTCAAACAAAAGATCTTCGAGTATTGGGCCAATTAATAAATATACAGGACACAGGAACTACCTAACTAGGGAGCTCCTATTTTAGACCACAAGCGAAGCCCACTTTCTTCATAATTACAAAAATGTCATTGGCCAATTCGGTCCACGCGCCTAGAAAAAAAAATATAAATAGTCGGTTTTTTTTAAAAAAACCGGAAAATTCAGAAAATCCAGAAAAACCACCTCGTCATCTCTGTCAAGCGATTTCTCTCTCCAGATCTCCGTCCGGCGATTTCTTCAGGCAAATTTTCACAAAATCCATGAATCTCCACCAGAAATCTGCTACAAGCTTCTCACCTGTCATTCGGAAGTGCATTTAAGCCGTCCGTCTGGTGAATTTTGGAAGAAACTCGGTTTCAAATTTCAGATCTGAGAGCGAATTTGGTTCTAAACACCACGATTCTTCTTCATTTTCAAATCTAGTGATCGCAGTAAGGACTCGCTTCTGTTGAAATGAACATTTGTTGTTTTAGATCTGATTTTTTCAATAACTAGGGTTTTGAATTGTGAATTTTGTCATTCGAACTTTTTTGATGTTCATCCACCGATTCTTACCGCAGAATAATGAGAATCAAAGCAACAAAAATTGCTACGCCAGAGGCTACACCGGAGGCTAGCCAAGCGTCATCATCAGGTTCAAGCGTTGATGACAGGTATTGTTCATCCTGAGTAAATTCTTTACATTCAGATATTTATTTCATAGATCTGGTAGCGTGAGATAATTCCTGAGACTCAGTTGTTCATTATATAGATGTGGTTATTTATCCTGTATGCTTTGATGTTCATCCTATATCCTGAGACTCAGTTGTGATTGTTCATGTAAAGGTTATCGTATTGTTTGTGTGGTTATTCATCATGTATGCTTCGATGCTCATCCTGTATGATTCGATGCTCAACTTGACAGAGAATGTTAGGTTGCTCATCTTGTATACTTTGATGCTCATCCAGTATGATTGATGCTCATCTTGATAGAGAATGTTAGGTTTTGCTCATCCTGTATGCTTTGATACTCATCCTATATACTGATGTTGATTTTGTTTGATGTTCATTTCTGGATATATGTTCACTGCCTATCGCTAAATTTTCATCTTGTATCCTATCTTGCTCATTTGCTAGTCAACTTATAATTACGTGAATGTTATCATGCAACAGAGATCAATACAAGAGTGTGAGGAGAGGCAATAAAGACAAGAGTCTCCCTTCCACACAATCCATTGAAGGGCATAATAGTTCATCGTCTCAACAAGAGAATGTTGAAACACAAAAGAATGTCAAATCATCTACATCTGCCGCCAAAGAGAGAAAAATAAAGAGGAAAGATGGCAGCGATGATCTTGCAGGACAACAAGAAGCAAAGAAGCGAACATCAGATTCATCATCTAAAAAAGCCATTGAAGAGAAAGAAACCAGAAATAACGCAGAGGAAGAGTCTAAATCGTCTACACCAGTCCCCATAGAACAAAGGACGAAGTTTAAACATGATGTTGGCAATCCAGTGACAGAAAAAGAAGAAGAGAAAAAGGCAGCTTTAGAAAAGAAAGCACCCCCTGCCCGAAGAAAGATGAAGAGAACAAATGGTGATGATGGTTCCATGCCAAAAACAATAGCAAAGAAGGAGAAAGCTGCAAAAAAGAAACAACCCAAAAAAGAGGTTTCAAATTCTCTATCCAGAGTGTCGCCGGCCGGAGCTTATAAAATTTTTGGTGCGCTTGACCCTGACCAAAGAAAGCTGGTTCAGGAAATAGGTTTCAGGCACCTTTGAGCCTGGGAATCAGTAAATTTTCACACCCGGATTTGTTCCTTTACCTGTTCAAAAATTTCAGGTTCACCAACAAGACGTTGTTGATTCAGGGCGGAAGAGAAGAACTGAAGATCACAGAAGAAGATGTGGAAGCTGTGCTTGGACTACCACGTGGTCCGAAGACAGTAGTTGAAGCCTATGATTCCAAGGACAAGTCCAAAGAGTACAGGAATCTTGTCCGGCAGATGAGGGAGATATTCAAAATGAAAGACCAAAATGCGGGATCGCCCGCAGCAACCCAAATTGGGAACTACCTTGTATCGGGTGATCCTGATTGCCCAAACCCGAAAATCTTCCTGAAGAACAAAGATACCGAGTGTATGGAGAAGAATTCAAAGGGTATGCTTCAATGTTTTCAAAAGGTTCCTGTATAGTTTTTGTGGTTACTCATCTTGTATGCTTTGATGCTCATCCTGTATGCTTCGTTGCTCATCTTGTGTGCTACTTTACTGTAGGTATTTCATGCTGTTTGCCATGGCTAGCTTGCTCTTCAGAACAAAGAATGCGTGTTACTGCTACCAAGTAATGAAATCATTGATGAACGTCGAGGACACAAAAAATTACAATTGGTGCAAGTATGTAGCGAAGGGACTCTATGACGCGGTTGAGGAGTGGCAGAAAAATCCTAATGGTGCTTTCAATGGGCCACTGATCTTTCTTATAGTATATTTCAATTACTTTGTTTATTTTTTTCCCCTTATTTATTAATTTTGTGTGTGAAATAACTGAATATTATGTTGATACCATAAAACATTGCAGTTATACTATTTGGATAGAGTTGAGTACAAAAGTGGGGATGAAATCCCCCGGCAGTTTCATGTGACTGCTCACTAGGACAACGACCGAGTAACAAACAGGCTGGCTTTGGAACGCAGGGGTGCAGGCTTTGGAAGTGGCGAACCAGTAGACAGGATTGCAGTACCGGAAAGAATGGTTGAGGATGAGCCCATCCAGGCCGAGAAGATGAGGAAACTTGATGATCTGCAAGCACGACCTGAAAATCAAGAAGATACATCAACGAAAGATAAGGTACATCTTATGAGACTCAGTTGTTCATTTAAAGGTTTTTGTGTTGTTTGCGTGGTTGCTCATCCTGTATGCTTCGACGCTCATCCTGTATGCTTCTATGCTCATCTTGACATAGAATATTTGATTATTCATCCTGTATGCTTTGACGCTCATCATGTATGCTTTGATGATTATCCTGTATGCTGATGTTGATTTTTTCTGATGTTCAATTTTCATTTTACTCTTCAGGAATTGGATCTTAGAACTAGGTTTCAACATGTGATGCTTAATAGGATGGGACCCCTTATCCTTGACCTGGGCTAGTTGTTTCAAGAAGCCAGTAAAACTGGCATAAATAGACACATCTTGTTCTATAAATTGTTCAATGACTATGCCGAGGTCTTGAAGAGAATGGCGGCTCATGCAGGGAAAAGGGCTGAAGATCAAGAAGTCAACTCAGTTCCCGCTGAACAAAATCAGAAGCAAAAAACAGATGGCTCTCAGAGTATGAAAAGTCCCCGAACCCAAAAGTATGGGGTTTTGACACTGCAACACAGATGGATGCATGGTGGAAATCTCCGGAAATGTTGAAGTACATTAGGACGATAGACCAGGTTATACAGGAGGCAAAAAAGCAAAGTCCCAAAACTTTCCAAAGGGCCAAATTTTGATATAGGCATTACTCAACATTTTCCACCACAACCTGTCAATGTTCCCAAAGAAAATGACTCCGGTGCTGAGAGTCTTCATCATAATAACTCATTCACTAGCCTAGGACATGCAGCTGTTCAAGTTGCCATTCATTTCCAGGGTAACGAACATTATACGGCTTCATCAATCCAGAGTGACGAACATCCAACAACTCCACCAATCACTAGGCCGCCAAGTACACAAACTCTTGAGACAAAACAAGATTCTGTACGGAAGTAAATTTATAGGTATGCATTTAAAAATTTAAAATTCAACTCAAAAACTCTGATGCCCATCCTGTTAAAGCATGATATTTAACTGACTTTCTGTAATTACAGTAAATCTGACCATGTGAAATTTCTTTTGTGTTCAAGTGTTTTTCACCGGTGCAGAGACCCAGAGCAAAGACCAGGATGAGGAACCTATTGAGTACATGTCGCCGTTGTTGAAGAAAGAACTAAAGAAATTAACAGAGATTACACCTATCCAAAAAATTCTTGCCGACTTCGTTTTCTCAGGACCAGATGGTGAAGGGAATGAATTCAACAGGTAAGCAGGATAGGACAATGTGCATCCTGTAAACTACAATGTACGTCCTGATAAAATATAATGTTCATCCTATTAAACTACAATTTAGTGCAGGGAAACCCTGTATATGACCTACGAAGCCAAACCGATGGGAAAACAACCTGTGATGTACCTTTATCTGGGCAGGCACAGTTTGAAGTCGTTCCGTTTTAATGAGCAGCTGTTGAACAATGTTATTGATGTTTGGTCGCTGCATCTAAACGAGTTGCACAAGTCGAAGAACTCCTGGCCGAGGAAGTATTTTTTCTCCTCCTCTGTGTTTATAAGACTCTTTTACTCATCACTTATTTGTAGTTTAATATGCATATCATTTGTTAAGAATTTAACGTCATTGACATTTTGTTACAGCTCTTATACGACAGTGACAAAAAGACGGGTCAACCATTGGAAACAGCCATTCAAAATGGATATGAGAGAATTGCAAGTGACCTTGCAAGCCAGAATGTGTCGTTAGGAGCCTTATGTCAAAAAATATGGTAAGTTTAATCATGTGTAAATTCTTATGAGATTCGGATGTTCATTTCATTGATCTGGTAGGGTGATGATAATTTCTGAGACTTAGTTGTGATTATTCATCCTGTATGCTTTGATATTCATCCTGTATGATTTGATGCTCATCTTGACAGAGAATGTTAGTTTGTCCATCCTGTATGCTTTGATACTCATCCTGATAAAGCACTATGCTCACTGATAAGGTCGATATTAGTGTAATATTTATGGTAATTTATGTGTCATTTTGGATGGTATCTATGCTAATATTGGTGTTTTATGCTTAATTTTATCATAGGAGGTGTTTTGGACAAAAAGGATGAAAACGTGTTGATTTTGGAGAGTTTTGAAGCTTTTGTGGAAGAGACTTATGCTCAAGGGCAGAAGTGGAGTTGATTTAGCACGTGAACATGTTGAAGAACAAGCTGAAA